ATATTTAGGTCTCGCTTTTTCCTATCCTCTTCAACCAAATTCACTTTGTGCTACACTTTGATTTATCCTTATCGTCTATTGTAACTCCGCCTGGTCGTCCACATACGTATCTAACTTACATAGAAATTTTTTTTTGCAAAAGCGAGCGAGCTGTGCAGGCTATCACCAACTCAGACGATTGAGTCCATTCCGCTCCCAGAATTCTTCAGAGTAGGAATTTTAGATATTTTCCAAGTCAATACGTTTGAAATCGCCAAATGCATGTTTTATTATAAAGATAACTGCATTGCCCCCATTGCTGCTCAATCTATTGGTAACAAGTAGCCAAATTCACGGCTATGATTTCAGAACAGCCAGTAATTATTGCAAGCATTTGTGTCGTACTAATGTCAATTAATTTACTTAGCTCCTTAAATGCGATAGTAGCGCGCGAGCAGGCCTCATTAATAGAATATACATAGTTTCTTTTCTCTTGGCCATCATTGGTAGTGCTTCGGCACGAGTGTTTCTTCACCCACGGGTAAGTTTTAACCCATTACACCTTAACATCAGAATGCATATTCTCCATAATGTTCTTTATACATTTCTTAAGGTTCTGAAAAAGAGAGTTTGTTTAACAACCAAGAGCTTCTTTACTTGTTGATCATTTCCCTTATTCTCATGACCTCATTGTTTCATTCAGGGGTGATCTTGTAAGGAGGAATTAGATGCCAGTCACTCTAAGGGGTTAAAGGGTTGAGCGACGTGAGCCGGCGAGAGGTTTGTAAGGGGTCTAGCAATCATTATTAGTGTCAGACCCCCGGTAAACCTCCCCACGACTCGTTTCAAAGCTTCCCACGGGCGGAGAAACGCGCGCCCTGCAGTGCTAACTAAGGGCCTTGTCGCAAGCTAATTTCTTTGTTACGTGTTGTTATCGCGTTTTTTAATTTGACTGTTCAAGGAAGGTTCCATGAATTAATCAAGTCACAGTGAGCGAACGGAGAGGTAGATCTAGAAATCTGCAACTGCAGCGTCGTTGTTCACATACAGCTATAAACGTTTTTTTACCGGCTTTCCTAACAAGGCACCACTAATTACGTTGCGACATCTGCAATGTCAAGTGACTCAAGGTTGCAGTTGTAACGTCATTTTATTTGAGAAGTGAAAAACGTATACAACATACTGGATACTGGATGCTGGCACATAAAAGTATCATGCAGCTTACCAATATTCTTTCTGATTTCAAGCTCAATATCAATACGTATAAAACGACTGAAATCCTTTGAGGCTTGACTACGTTCCCAGCAACCACCGAAGAAATCCCGTGTCTCATTGATCCAATATTTAGGGGGTTTTATTTCATGCTAAACTAGGAAAAAATGCTTTGGTCTCGGATCAACTTAGATGCTGATGGCTACAGAGAATTGACATATATTTCGTGTGTTTCAGAACAAAAACTATGAGAAAAGGGATGCGCCGCTTCTGCGCGAGTCTTAAGGTAAACGTTTTCGGAAACATTATATGGGTTTTAAACGTTGTTTTTTTTGCGCTTTTGGGAGGCGCGAGGTAACGAATTAACGATTCGTACGGAAACAGCCCACGTTTACAGGATGACGAAGTCCCACATATATTCAAACTTACTACAAAATTACTAAGAACTAAATTCAAGTTTCTTTAAATTGTGCTAAGAAGAATAGGTAAGGATTGATATTCAGGATGATTGAATTTTGATTCGAGTGGAGATTGGGAAAGAATTTGTTTTCCGCAGAGGTAAACAAATTTTTCCAACTGGTTAGGCGGCGTTAAGCACAGGCGAATGCACCTATATCAATTATTTTTTAAAATTTTGATTTATACATAAGAACGTCGAGGTTAGAAACAGAATAAAATTTAAGAACAAATTGCGAGGAAACCTCTGGATAGTGGGCAGAAGCCTTCGGAAGCGCAGTGTAACTACAGGATAATTGGATGATTTAAGGCAATTTCAAAGAAAGATCAAAGAGAGAAAACTGTTATACTTCATTAACCACATAACTGTCTTACTGAGGTGTGCACGCAAACAGAACTCCGCGTTTTTCTATTTATAGGATGAAGGAATTTTTCTTGTCCGCTTGTAAAAATTGTGACAAACCTATGTGCATAGAAGATTGACTGAAATTAAACCTTTTTCTTCGAAGCTGCGGGTTTTAATGACATTTTCTTAATTTCGCCTTTTGCTTTAGAGCTAACAAATTGAAAACATTCATAACACAACAAAACATAAGCGTTTAACAACAGAGCATCTTATCTCATGACGCCATTATAAACCTACACATAATTTTTAAGGCACCATAATTTTTAAGGTGCCATTATGTTATTACTTCCCATCTCCGGCATCATTACACAATAGCAGACCGCCAAAGAAGTAAATAGCTTTATTTGATCTCTATGCATGGAGAAAGCGTTGAGCCATTATCACCAGTCGTGAAAAAAAACGTGAGCATTTTCCTTTGAAGAATATTTAAATGAAAAGCTTCCGATGTAACTATAAAATTTCTCTTGATAGTAGTTTATCACATAGACAAGGTACGGTTGAGAATATGGTAAGTTTTCATTTAAAATGGACCTTTTAATACTGGGGTTAAGTTCGTTTACAAAAAAATGCTGGAATATATCATGCGTACTAGATACTGTTCATTTTGTCAGGCGGTATTCTCTCTGATCATAGCTAAATACATAAATTATTCACCATTCGGAGGTCCGTATTGGGAAAAAACTGTGATCGAGGTCTCGGATACCCAAGACCTTGGGCACAGTTTTTTCTCAATACGAACCGACTTAGGCTGGTGAATAACATATTTGTTTTTTTCTAACACTTAACGAAATGCTTGTGGAAAGAACCCGAATGATTTAGGGCCACAATTATGAGTTTAATTATGGGAAGATCCTCCTAAAATGAACAATTTTTTAGCGAGTAGATTATAAAGAAAACAGAGGTTATTCAAATATTAAGGAGAAGCTTCACCGAAACATTTTCATTTACGTCATGATGATAAAGTTAACTTAAAAGGCTTCTGAGTAAACTTTTAACATTTTTTTTTGATGAGCATCTGTCAAGATCTGGCACCTTTCAATTGGAAAGGGAAAAAAACGCAAGTACACTATTGAATGAACCACAGTACCGGTATATAGCGCATTAGTTAAATGACTATGACGATGATCTTCTCTTAAAAACACTCAGAGATCTCATGCCGGAAAAGTATTATTCATTTCCAACGACGATTTATCTTCGAAGATTTACCTCTGATCAGTTTAAATGCCACAGAAAGTGAAATTGCTAGTGAATTCAAATGTATGTTTTAAAGTTGTGAGAGTCTGCTTGTTTGTTTTCCGCAATGGGGCGTGTAAATCTTGCCAGTCTTTCTTTCACCAAAAAATCGAAGGTCAAATGAAACGTTTAATTTTTTTGTAGCTAGACAAAAGGTGATTTAATACGACACTTACGGTATGTATATGAATGTAGATGATGATGTAGATATGAAATGAACGAGAGTCACATTGATTATCGTAATTGTAACTGCAATACCTCTTGTTTTAACTTTCTGAGTTACTTTTTGTAAAGGATCATCAATTTGCAAATGCTTTTAGGCCGCGTGTCAAGTTATTTAAAAACTAATTTAGTGCATAAAATTTATTTCTAAAAAGATACCGCCCAGCCGGCAAAACAACATCTATTTGTGAAAAATTGCAACGAAGCTAGAAATGTTCTGCAAAGCGACTCAACACGAAACGGATACCGTCCATTGATAGCGGACCGGATGGGAGAAAACTGCCCGCTCTCGGAACCAATCAAATCGTAGGATTTGTAGAATACCGCCCGCTTACGCACTGAGAAAAAAAATAATAAAGTGATATCAGGTTTTTAAGGCGTCATCATTCAGTATATTTTACACATCACATAATTACAGGTATGTGTTAGGTTTCTGCTTGCTCGTGGGAAATTTTGGCCGCATTTTCAACTATCGAATATAACATATGATAACGTATTATTTTGCTTGAAAAAACACTGCACAATTTCCAGTTTTCCAGTGTTTCATCGCCCGTGATAGTAAATTATCATATTTCGATCAGGATGCGTGGATCAGTCTGAGAGAAGTTGTTTTTAACGGAATTTAAATAGTACAACATACCCTCAAATTTAAATCTTGTTGTTGTCCAAACCGCTTGATTATGAAAAAATTCACCCAAAAGGAGGCGAAGTGAAATCATAAATCTGTAAAAAAGTGAGTTTTAGTAATCATTCGATTGTTCAAAAAGTATTAAGTGTCTACTGAGCGAGTCCTTTACCGCAAAAACGGCCGGAAAATGAAGGTTTGTGTTAAAGTGGGTTACATTTGTTTCTTTTCACTTGCAGATACTGATTACACGATTTTCTTTACATTTATTCAAAACGCTTTTATTTTTTAACTCTTTACCATAGATGAAAAGTCTCCTTCTGCTGTTCACCACTCTTTGGCTATCCCCAGTCTTCTACTGTTCTCGAGAAGGAGCGGTCGACAATGTGATTATTCACGAAGTAGACATAAAAGATTTAGGTAGGGCTCTGATATAAAGTGCGGAAGGTAGCTCAAAGAGAGGGATATCGATATCACTCCATATGAGACACGCATGTTATGTTATAAAAAAAATATGCGCTGTTCTGCGCTAGCTTAGTAAAGAAAATGTTCGAGGAAAGGAGTCTATGTCTTACAGAATGTAGAAGAAATTTCAAATCTATAATCTACCACAGCTCTCACTGTTTAGCCTAACTATCATTTGTACGAAACATATCATACCGTTTCATTTACTGTTTTTTGTCAGTTTCTTATTTTGCATCTCTCCCGACCTTAATTGGGTACGCTTTTCGTGGGGGAAAATTTAAGGTAGTAAGCTTATTATGTTTGATTATAGTTATATTTTATAGGCTGCATTTCTAGACTTTAACTTTCTTTTATCCGGTTTTAGATCTTGCTGGAAAAGGGCACTCCTTCGAAGAACCGGCAAAGCGATTGTATCCAGACCACACACGACTGTGCCCAGCCAAGCAACGTTATGTGAATTCCAAAGACGCGTTCAAGGGACGTTTCTCAAAGCATGCTTTCATCCTGCCAATAGCTTTCGAAATGATCTCTTGCGAAAAAAGCAATGAAACAAGCCAGTCTCCGAACGGTTCGCGCTGTCTGGGAATCATGGATTGCCAGGAGACTAAGTCGAGCAAGTACTTTGTCGTGCGTGATCTTGCAAGCAGAAAAAAAGGCGGCTGTATGGTTCAACGGATAGTCAAACTAAACAGTGTTCCCGTTGAATGCAGCTGTTACTGGCCCCTATTGCTTGGTAGTAGTCCTCGTCTATTTTTTAACAGACGTCGTACCTAAACCGCAATCGAAGTTTACAATTTTCTCATTTATGTCGTTCACTGTTTTAAATCCTATTGAAACTTTATCTTACAACGCTATGCCGTTAGACCTTGCTAAAATACCACACTGTCGATATTTAAATAAATTAATATCTTATTTTCACTTGTTCTGGTGACGTCTGGTTCTCATCGGTGTTCGTAAACTGCAAGGCCAGGAAAAACAACTGCAACAGCGACGAATCATAAGAGAGGTTGCTAATTCAGCTATAAAAACAATGAAATTATTATTCATCGTTCATGATAATTTCTCGGACGACTGAGTTCGAAGAGCACTTGTGTGCTCGACACTTTTTCGGTGTCGTCATCCGCCATTTTGAATCTTCATACGGATTACCGCTGTGCTTTCGGTCCTAGACTCCCGTTCCATTTTCCTCGTTTTAGGTTTCCTTTTCTCCGTTCTCCTTTCCCCGTTCCCCGTTTCCTGACTTTATTAGCATCTTTCAGTGATACACTTATGTTTTGTATGGCTCCGCTAAAATGCATTGCTGGTAATTTTCTCTGAATATATTCGCCAAATTTATTTCCTTCCTCCGGCTTATCAATCGGAGTGAACCACAGAAAAAATGAAAAAAAAACAAGTAAAACGTTTAAGTCCATCTTTATAGCTATCGGTAAGATTGTATTTACGCATGATTAGCAAACTCGATCACAAGCACGTGCAGAAAAACAAGACTTAATTTAGCATAAAAGAAGGGGAGTTTTGGCCCTCAGTTTTAGGAGATACCCACTTATTTCTTTTGGCAGATAAGTTGAATTAAAAAAAGAAACAATACTTTGTCAATCAAGGTGGCACCGCTTCACCGACCGAGGATGAAAAAAGCCCACTTTAGAGATACGCAGCCAATTGCGGAAGCAATCAACAGGACATCAAAAAAACGCATTGTTCTTTCTTCTCGATCGTTCCAAGTGTCTTTTTCTCGACCAAACGAGAATAAAACCATTACCCGGTGGGTTCTTGTAAAGCAGCGCTTTATAATTACAATTTTTCTGACTGGTGGAGAAAATATACGCTGTTCTCTGTCTTTTAGAAAAGAATGGCTGGCTTGACGTGCTCGATTGTTGGTCGTTCAAGCCTACCTTGATGGAGTGAACAAAAAGTTTGTGTTTCTTTTCTACGAAAGCCACCTGCTTTAGTGAGCTACAGCCCTTCCTAAATTTAGCTTCAGATTAAAAGTTGTCAAAATTTCAAAACAAAAGTAATCTACTTATTTTTTGACATCTTTCGCCGGCGAAATATTTCAGGACCAATCTTCAAGCCGGCAATTGTAGTATGCTCAAAAAGCATTTAGCCGTGGTCACCCACCATTCGTTCTAGAACAAGAAGAAATAACAGCCCGCTCAAAACCTTTGCGTGACTTAAACGTTGGAAGGAGAACAAGTTTTGACCATGATTAAGTCGAAGAGTTCTTCTTGGATGTAAACATCAATAACAATTCATAATCCCAGAACCCCTTAATGAGATATCGCTCTTGTTTACTTGTTTCTCTGTTCTAATTACATTGTACGCTTATTAAATTTTACAATTGGCCTTTTTCAGTAAATTTCCGGGAGTGACGCAGATGTTCTCAATTCACACAACACCTCAGGGTGACTTCTAACAAGTCATATGGGAATTGCTGGATATTCTGAATACTTAAAGAACTGGTTGAATTGTGGTTCCTTCCTGCTGTTCTGTCTCAGCAGGGCTGATGCAATTAAGGTTTTTCAATTTTAGCACGAACACAATTTGTTGGAGTTTTGAAAGCAATGCTGTAAAGATGATCCCAGATTAATGCTGTACCCGGTGAGGTATTCAGAAAACTGAATTGGTAGAGTAAAGTTGAACTAGCTTAAAGTGATAATCATAATGAGACTTTGGTAAAGGGATACCCCAAAAGGCGACAATTGAAGAAATATATTCTGATGGGACATGTGGAAAACGTAGAATTATTGCATTTACGATTATTTACAGTCAAAGCTTTTAGTAAACTCATCTTGGAATGGACATTCTGTAACCTGCCATACATTTCTTCAAACGACGTCATGGCCACCATGAATATCGTAACCAGCTTCGTATTTCACGCTTTATATTCACTGATAATAACGGCTCTGGTGCTCAGAAAACCTCTAAAAGTCGCAAGTTCGCATCAAGCGAAGATTCTTAAATCCGGGGACATTATTATAGGCGGACTCTTTCCTGTCCATAGATCAAGTTTGTTGGACAGTTCGTGTACTACGCTAGACAAGGAAGGGGTCGTTTTAACAGAAGCAATGGTTTACGCTGTGAAGTACGTTAATGAAAATAAGCTGCTTCCCCAGCAAATAACTTTGGGATATGACATTCGTGATACTTGTGGGAAGGTAATCCATGCGTTGAAGGAATCTCTGGATTTTGTAAATGAAAGGAAAGAAGTCTCGAGTGAAAGGGAATCTAATTCCACAACAAAATTGCCGACTGCCGCATCACGTCAAAATCTGATTGCAGTTTTGGGAGCTGGAAATAGTGTCATCTCATCGGCGGTTAATGATATTCTCAGTATTTTTAGAATACCGCAAATTGGCTACGCTTCCACTTCGCGATTATTGAGCAACAAAAATCGTTATCCAACATTTTTAAGGACGGTTTCGCCCGATTCGCTGCAAGGACAAGCAATTGCGAAGATCGTTTCCAATTTCGGATGGAATTATGTGGCATTGTTTGCTTCAGATGATATCTACGGCCGACCATTGGCAGACACATTCAAAACCGAAGCGAAAAAGCTCGGAATATGCTTGGCACTTGATATTCTGATCCCGTACAACCCTCCCACGGGTGCGATCAGAAAATTGGTCAGCAAACTTCGCCGGGACAAAAATATCGAAATTATTCTACTCTTTACTTCCGAAGGTGAAGCTGTTGATTTCCTCCGCGAAGCCACACTGCAAAATGTTACTAAAAAGCTTTGGATAGCTAGCGACTCTTGGGCAGACTCGCCGAAAATTGCTGAAGATAACGCGAAGATTGTCGATGGCATGTTACGAATAATCAACCAGCCGATAGTTGTGCCGGATTTCATGAAATACTTTTACAACTTAAACCCGTTTAACAATCCCCAGAACTTCTGGTTTATCCAGTTCTGGGAGGAATTATTTCAGTGCTATGTTTCCAAACACAACATGACATTATCAAAGGAAAACCGTTTTACTGTAAGGGCTTCATGCAACGGGAAAGAAAAGCTGGCAGATAAATTTCTTCAAACAGACGCTGTTTTTTCACGAGTGTCTTACGTCATGGATGCGGTGCTTTCCATTGTCTACTCAGTTCGAAAAATCTGTCAATCAAAATTTGGGACACAAATGAGCTCAGAAATGGCACGCAAGAATGCATGCATCGACTTTGTCACACCCTCATCAGTTTTGTCGAATATATTTAACATCACGTTTGACAGCGTAACAAACCGAACCGTATCATTCGACAAGAGTGGCGATGACATGGGACGCTATGATATTATCAACTTTAAAAATCACGAGAATGGTAAATTGAACACCACATTTTCGAAAATTGGTGAATACGATGGCAAAACAGGTTCGTTAAAAATAGACCGTCACGCAATCCATTGGCCTGGGGGTGTCACGTCTCCTTCTTACGGACTCTGCAGCCTGGAATGTCCTCCAGGAACTTTCAAGGTGGTGGCGAAGCCCATATGTTGCTGGACTTGCAGGACTTGTCCCAGGGGTAGCATAAGCAACGCACCTGGCGCTACTTCGTGTACCCAGTGCCCCTACAATAAAACTCCCAACGAAAGCAAAACCAAATGTGTTTCCACTCCAATGAGATTTCTTCGGTGGGACAGCACATGGGCCTGGATTTTAAATGTCACCATACTTTTTTGTGAGTCAGCTTGTTTTATCACCGTACTTATTTTTCTCCGCAACAAGGAGACGCCCATTGTTAAGGCTGCAAATAGGGAGATCAGCTTTTTGCTGCTGTTTGGTTTAATTTTAGGATTCCTGATTCCTTTATTGTATATCGGAAGACCAACAGATACCATGTGCAAGATACAAGTTATCTCCTTTGGAACCAGCACTGCATTTTCTTTGTCAATGGTCTTAGCAAGAATTAACCGGACGACTGTTGTTTTTAGATATAGCCGAGTAGCTCGAAGGAGTCAATCGAAATTTGTGAAGAAATACTTACGTTTGTTTCTATATAACCGAACCCAAATCATGCTTGCGCTGGTTTCTACTATCATCGAACTTTTGCTCTGTGCTGCATGGCTGTTGTCAAGTCCACCACAGGTCACTGCTCACCGGCTCACCATGACAGAAAGATTACTGATGTGTGAGGCGACTGCAAGTTTTGGACATATCATTTCGAATGCGTTCATCATTTTTCTAAGTTTACTTTGTACATTTGTGGCTTTCAAATCGAGGAAACTACCTCAGAATTACAACGAAGCGAAGTTCATTAGTTTCGCCATGTTCGTCTTCAACTTCGTGTGGCTGACTTTTGTCAGTACCTTTTACGGAACTCCAGAGGGAGAGCATAATGTTATAGTCAACTGTTTTGCGATTTTAGCATCAAATCTTGCCATCTTGACTCTGATTTTTGGTCCTAAGCTGTACATTATCCTTTTGCGGCCAGATATGAATCAAGTATCGGTATTTAGGGCCATAACATCTCAGTACACTTTCAGGCCAAGTCGAAGATCCCCCACCATCACATCAGATATGATGGGCAATTCATGCATTCTGAAAGAAAATAAATATGTGCAGACAACTGCAGAAATCATGGAAGAAACCTGGCATGAAAAAATCTGCCATGAACCAGTGCGTGTTGCTATTGGCATTGAAAATCTTAAAGAAGATACTATAAAAGCCACGGAAGCTGAAAAAGAAACTACAGAGGGTAAAGAACTGAACGATTTGGCACATCATACATTGGGACACATCAGGGTTCTTAACATGAGAGCCGCGTCGGATACCGCTTTGAACAGATTTGCTGACAACTTTCATGCACTGGCTTTCGGAAAAATCGAAGGGACGCGAGCATGCGTGGGGCATACTACCGGCGATGCAAATATGCACATTCATCAGAAACAGGTCAACCGAGAAGAAAAACCGTTCCTTAGTCACTACGTTGGTCTGAAACAATTGCATTATCCTTTGAAAGTAGATGGGGCAAAGGAGAACAACAGTAATTTTGATCGTCTGGAGAAAGAGCAGTGTGCATTATTATCCAAAATACAATTGGAAAGTGAAGTGTAAACAAACCTCTTTGAAAAATGTAACTAAACGAGAAACGCCGGAACACTTTATATATTTTTTAATTTTAGTAGCATAACTAGTGACTTGTCAACTGTTCAATAGATGCTCAGTTTTATAGGCTGTTCCTTTCAGTTCCATGCAATGGGTGCATACGTGAATGTGTGATACGTGATACCATCTGCGTTAAAAATCGTAGATCTAACCTGATCGGCCTTAAAATCAACCGCTGTGTTCAGTTAAAAGTTATAGCTGAATAAGATTTAAACCTTGACCATTCTACGCTAGATAAATTCCAAAACAGCGTTTTCATTCGGAAAACGCGAGAAAAGTTGTCCTTCCACTGCAATGCTAACTGGCTCAGAAACTCTTGACTGCTTCCTTATTAGGCATGCTCGTTGGAAGATCTTGGAACCCAGTCAAAAATTACCAAGATCAAAGATGTGAGCGTTTTCGAAGAGCCCCTTGTTCGGTTGGGCTCGGTGTGGACGGTGTGTCTTAGCCCAGAGTAAAGTTCCGTTTTGAGAATTTATCCGGTTTGGAGAGCATATTTGGAAAGATACATTCTCGTTCGGCAATTCATATCCTGAATGCTGTGGATCCTAGGCCTGCTCAGGGAATTTTTTTGGGTATTTGTGGAAAAGGCCTAAACTCTTAATTACTCACTCCCACATCTGATTTAATTACCTGTAAGTCTCATCATCTCATAAAAGACGCCATAACCTGTATAGTAATTTTGTTTGAAAATAGTCTTACCTAGTCTAAGATCTACCCCGAAACTTGGCCAACTCGATGTAGTTTATGTTGTATTGACACTCGGCAACAACAAAGTTGTTAAGTAGCCTCAAAAAATGCTGCTTTAAACATGCGTGAAGCATTAAACAATAAAGACATCGAGTCTTTATGAAACTACTTACGATGTGATGATGTGAACACCCTTCCGCTCGAGGTGACTTAGACCATTATCCATAGGCAAAGCCAGATAGTAAGTTTTGAGCACGCTAAAGAAATAATTAAAGATATTTTTCGTCTTGTCACGAGCATGGGAAAAAGAAAAAAATTCTGAGTCCCCATGAGGAATCGAACCTCAGACCTTTGGATTCCGTGCTCTGATGTTCTGCCACGGAATCCGAATGTCTGAGGTTCGATTCCTCATGGGGATTCAGAATTTTTCCTTTGTCCCACGCTCGCCATAAGACGAAAAATATCTTTCATCCATAGGCTTTCAACGATTCTGTCACAAGACCTTTGTTTGTTCTTGTAACAACAAACATCGGCTAGTTACCATGATGAATGAGTCGCCAAAAAGTGATGCGAAAGTCTAATAAAGCAACTACAATCATATTTAGCTTTTTTTGATATCCAGATATCGTCATTGGATTGCATTGAGATAGATAAAATCTATATTGCAGAAATTACTATTTACCATGGAAAAGAGAATTAATTATACACACCATTTATACCGGCAGTCCTCTCAGTAAAACTAGATGTTAGTTATTTAATGCGGTAAAAGCTGTTGTCGAGTTTAGGTGGTGAAAAGCGATACTTTATTTCAAATTCAAATTTAGAGGTTATCAGATCGCCATTTCTCGGGACTCTTAGGTTGTTTGCATGTTATCGGCTTTTGCTTCTCTTCGATCATAGACTGAGTTATTCTGGAAGTTTCTCAAGCAAAGGAGACGTCTGAGATATGGGACGAGCGAAAAATGGTGCGCACAGCACTCGGCCTTTTTTCATTCTTGTTCTCGTCCGCTGGAGCATTAGCGATCAAGATAACGATTCCTTAGAAAAATAAGAACGGAAATGAGAATTTCACTGAATATGCACAATGGCGAAACGGAGTTTGTTTTATCTTGTGCTTAGCACCTAAAAGTCGAAACAGTAAGACAACTTACGTTGGGTTTCTCTACATTCAGAAAAATTCTCGATTTCATAACTTCGTAGATGTCGCTTTACTTCCTTTTACAAATTTACATGAAGATGCATAGTAAGATTTTTTAACGCATTGACAAAATTGATCCCTTGCGTATGCTCTACTTTTGACCCGTGTGTTTTTGTGGACAAGCATCGTGACGCGTGACAGTCGCTGGTGCATGCATGTGATAGTTATAAAAACTCATCTCCCTAACAATGTTTCGTTTCTCTCTTATTTTTAAATCCCAAAAAATTGCTGATACATTTTCCTTTTTTTTTTTAATTGTGCTCGAGCTCACCGCTTTGTCTCATCGATAGAGACGTCATGTCTTGAAACGATGGCGAAAATGAAACCAGCTTAAAGCAAGCTGAAAGCTTTAGAAAGACAATCAAAACTCTCCTCAAATTATTCCATTCACTTTGAGTTCAAAATTTTCGCCCTCTGCCCCAATCTTTTCCTAACTAAAGGCAACACACTTTCACAGGGTTGATGAGCGGCGTGGGGTGGCGTAATTTTGAATCAGGCTGACAGTTTCCACGAAATTTTCTTTTTCAATTGCGGATAAAATCAGAAGTCAATAAATGTCGGCGAGCGTGAAAAGAATTGCTCGATCCATCGTATGGTTAGTTTTAATTTGATATAGCTTACATGACAGGTCGATTTGCCACCCTTCTTTTTCGGGCTGGTAAGTTTTGTAAAACAAAACTCTTTATTTGTACTTTAAAGAACACATTCGCAAAATTAAGAGCACGTATTAAGACTACCACTTAGCTAAAAGAACTTTGCCGCAGCCAATTTCGATAAAGCAGAATTCATTAATCATTTGCATCACTTCATTGCAGCGGAAGAAAACCGGGCGAATTCAACGATTATACGACTTTCGAAAGATTTGTTTTAATTTCATTGTATTTCATTAGAATTTTTACCGTCACGATTTTGTCATGCATCGAAAGATACCTCGAATACTATGAATGCATAGAAAGAGACTGTCATATATTTTTTAAATACTACACAGACGCAAGAGCGACACTATTAAGATATTATTTGCTTATGCAAGGTAAACCTGATTTTAAGTACTCTAAAAAACATATATGTATGAATAAAGAGCTTTATATAATTTTCTTCTAAGTGTTCAACGATTATTCATCAAAACCTGGTATATTCTGCGAAGAAATTATTTTTCAAATGAATATGCACACCTACGTGAATGGGGTTCCTGCAATACATACGAAACATATGCTACTCTTTTAACGCATTTTCCCTCAACAGGTTCAACATTGTGGAAGTCGACGCAAGAGGGTAGCCATAATTAAACTGTAATCGGATGTGAGTCATTCAAATAACCAAACAAATAGCCACGAGGTTTTTATAATGACCAATTAGGTTTTCTCGGTGTTTTTATGAAAAACATCTATCATCTGAATATCTCGGTAACCGATGTTCAAGCTGGCATTCTCAAAGACTCTTACGGCTAATCTTAGTGGTTTTTGTTTCCAGTAGCCGCGAGCACTGTCACCGTAATTGGCGCCAAACAGACACTTTTCCCGCCTAAATCGCACGCTGATGTCAATTGAGGCAGAATGCAGGCGACCGCGGCTTTCTTTGTGAGAGATAAGGGAATAAACGAGTCTCGTCGAATAGGTGACATCTTTCTAGTTTACCATGCAAGTTCGAAATGCGTTTTCATAAGATTCTTTATCAGCATAAAACACATGTACAGTCCTTTGAAAATATCATATCTGAATTATCTCTCCCTAATGAAGGTGAAAATTATTAGAAAGGGGAGATTTCATTGACATGGCTGTCTCCGACTGTCCAAACAAGTCGCTGAGTAAAATCTATAGCCCGTGATGGTTTCATATTGTTTTGTGATCTACGAAAATACCTGTCGACGATTTTTTTTTGCCAAAACCTTCGCAGAGCAGTAATATTGGCTTGCTAGATAAAATTGACCCCAACATTTAATAATTGGCTTTTGGTGGTAATGTCAATATCAACTACCTTCGTTCGTCGCCGCTTGACATTTCATAAGCATTTCTTACTTTCTGAGGAATATGTTTTAATATGTACCTCTTTTGTTTCACAAAGGAAAATTAATAATCCCCCATTAAACGTCTCTTTGCATAAGGCGCCGGAAGGACTGGCTGACAAAACACGCGTGTCGCCAGCTTAAAAACTCTGACGAAGTTCGGCTTAAATTATCATGTGTTCCCCGGTTTGCCCAAACAAACTATCTCATATGTGCCATAAACGGAAAGTGGAAACAGCTCGAGTTTCGTGGTCAGACTTTGCGTTGTGCGGTTTCTGCCTCTGAATGGACTCTGACTAAATCCGAAAGTATTTCCTGAGAGTTAAAGCTTCCTTCTTGAAAGTCTTTCTCTTGAACAGAATCGAAAGTGACAAAGTTTTTCTTGGCCAATCAGTAACCTACTTCGACACATTTCTCGATCGAAGTCTCTTCTACAGAGTAATTCGAAACATTGATCGAGTGTCACACGTTCTAAAGTCTTCTCCGCGCAACGTAAAATAGAAACTATTGTTTGCGGTCGTATTGTTGTTGAAGTTGAAGAATGCGGGCGAAGGAAATGATGAATAGAATCCTGATCTTGATGGTGACACTGTTTGTAACCATGTTCCCCATTGTGACAGGTTAGTAGACAATCAACGGTACATGTTCTTTTACCAGCTACACGTTAGAAGAAATTTCATAATGACCGCCACTGACGCTTATTATACTGCTCAAAATTTTAAAAATTCAAACAAGATCGTGAAACAGAACTAAAACCTTCACCTTTTTTCATAAATATAAGCCTCTTTAAATAGCCACGACACTCTTGGGGTTAATAACTCTGACTTCTCCGACGAATTTTTAATTCAATATTTTCTACCCTGTATGTTTGCTGAGAATTTACATTTTATTTCCTTTGCTAAAAAAGCGAAGTTTAAAATAGCAATAGCCCGGACCTTTGGAAGATAAGTGAGACAACTTTCGACTGGCTTTGAGTTCCGGCTAGAAAGTCAAATAAATAAGCTTCAACTTTTTCCTTTAACTTTTTCCCGTAGTTGTCTTCGTTCAGGGTTAGCCAAACAGATGGCAGTTTATAAAACGGGGACACCGTCTCAGAATCAAACTAAAAATAAAATTGTTAACATGTGTACATTTTATTTTTTCATCTAATGCATATGAATATTTCAGAAATACTCAAAACGGGTCGTGTCGAACGAAGTTGTTGAGGAGTTGTTGAGTTGTCAACTAAGTGCATCACCTAGCTTCTTCCTCAATAGTGCCTAGCTTAAGTCTACATGTCAGTGTTATTTATATTGTAACCTACTTGAACACGCGGGTGTTATTGTTAGTTTTTTTTATTTATTTGGAGCGGTCTACCCTTACGTGAGTCTTACTTCCGGCCTAAAATACCCTTGATAATAATTCGAGACTGATCGACGCTGTTTTAGAATCAAAGAGTACTTGTGGACTAGCGAAGTTATTGAATAGGCAATCAATTGCAAGCGCCCCTTAAATTTTATTTTGTTTGTTGGTGAGAAAAATTGTTCAAAAAAGAGCCGTAACTAGGTATCGAAACTTGAACAGCTGGTCAACCTTTTCTTGATACTATACACTAAACAAGAATTATACTTTTTTTACCAGGAAAGTTCCATGCTCCGGCAAACTATTTTTATCGGATTATAACAAAAATAATTGAATTTAAAACATTTTGTTTAAGTCAAAATTTTCTGAAGCCTTATGTCAAAATATTTTAAGTTCTCCGATAAACATTTTGAGATATCTTAAAATTTAATTCTTATTGTTCACAGTGCAGTGCATCCTTGTATTGTTTGAAAAGATATTAACATGTGCAGTTTTTCCAATACAGCTATCATACTACTAAGAATTAATTTGATTACAGATATCCATTTGGACATTTCTGTTTCTACATCATCACGTGTGGCCAACTCGGTAGCTTTAATTCGTATCCGTATTTTTAGAATTTTATTTTGTATTGTTTTGGTTTTTTAACCCTTCAAAGACAATGAAATTACCTAGCAATTAAATTTTTACTTGAAAAAGGCTCGAATAATCAACTGATGGCTTTAATCCTAAAGTTTTAAAATTTTCTGTGTGCTCCACAATTATTCATCCCTGAATTCTAATTTTCACACAGTTTAATGAGCTTATTTCGAGCCGTTTTCTTCACCTCTTAACCTTTTTTATTTCCCTTTTATCGTCAGCTGACGTTTCATGCTTCTGTAACTCCCCGTCGTGCCCGCAAGCTTTGTGTAAATCAAGTCAGCAGTGTTTCAGCAAACTAGTGAAGGCTAATGGGAACGTTTCTACTAGTGTTTCGTACGGCTGTATTGAGACACTAGATCCCAGTCTCTCGTGTTTGAACTCATCGTTAATGATATGCTGTGAGAAGGATCTGTGTAACATGCCAAACATGTTAAGAGGTAAGCGTTAACAATACTTATAAGCTCATCTTGAAGCTCTAAGGAATAAAACTCCTGATGTTTGAGTTTCACGTCTTTTCCCTTCAAGTTACTTCAGAACTCGTTACATCGAGCGAATGTTCATGAAATAGCACGCAATTAACAATATATCCGCGATAAGAAAAACTTCCAAACAGCCGCTGTTATAACTAGACAGGAGCCCATTACCCGGAACTTCCATCTTCCATACCCTCTGAGTCAACCCTGTCCCGTATCTTTTTATTTTTAGAAGCACCTCCCACGGGGGTTTTTCGCGGGTGTTTACATAATAGCCAATTATAACAGAGCTGTGGTCCTCTATTGTTTACGTCAAATGCAGGGCGCACGAAAGTATTCCAATTATGGGAATGTCTGCATGTTTTCGCAGGAAATTAAAGAACCCCCCACACATAACTCAGTTCTAAAACTAAAAGGATGCGGGACGGGGTTGAGTCAAGGGTACAATTGGTATGGACGCTCCGGGTAATGGGCTCCTGACGTAGAAAATTCGGAGTCACATACGTGACGTGACCTGAAAGGCGGGAAACTATCAAACAGAGAATCCAGCTAGCAAAAGCTGCAGCAAAAGATTTAATATTTCGAACGGTTCTATTAAAATTATAGAAAAGAAGTCCCACTTCTAAAATTGGATCATGCTATAAGCGTCACAGTCACGTAAGACAACGTAATTCAGTTATGTGTGGGTTACACATAACCCACAATTTCTTTTCGCCCACTTGATTTTCAAAACATGACTCTTGCAAATTTGAAACAAAAAATTTAACTTTCTATAGGTACAGGCCTACAACAAGTCGTAAAGCTGGCTACGCCACAGTTTTAACCTTTTAACTCCTCGACCAACTTTGTAATTCTCCTTAGTGTCAATCATACGATTCTTATAATGTTAGTTCAGAGTACATTTTGAAATTTTCTTTGTTTCTCTAATACTCCCAGAAATAACAAAAACTCTTCAAAACAGGGGCAACATGGACACCGGGGAGCATGCGTCTAGCGACGACGAAGAAGTCGCTGGGCCTGTCTCCGACAAATGTACGGACAAATGTACGGACAAATGTACGGACAAATGTACGGACAAATGTACTGACAAATGTACGGACAAATGTACGGAATCAACGCCTGCAATGCAAGTGGCCAGCGTAGTTGCACCAAGTGTGTTAATTCTGACCGTGGTTCTCTTATCATTGGGGATTTTTTATAAAATGGCGCGCTATCAGAAGATCCGCACCAGTCAGTTAAAGAAAAGTGTTAAACACAAGGCTTCAAGAGACGGATTAATTAATAAAGTACGAGAGTTAAAAGGTTGTGGTTTGTTGGTGGGGTCGAGCGTACCGGAAGTCTTTCAGACGAAAACTGTGATCAGCAGGAGCTGTTCTGAAAATGATTATCGTGTATTAATTTCCAGTCCTCACAACGTGTGAAGACAGACTTTTCAATTTGAATGTTAAATTTAGGTTAAAATCTTTGTTTACGCCTTTCACCGCATACGCGTGACTTATTCCCTTTAAAAATACACCAACTATAGGTTCATTGGGCTATTTTAGAAATTTGAATTTTTTTTAATTACGTATTTGGATTTTTATGAACTTATCGATTGGAAAAAATGGCCATGATGCAAAGCAGATGGCAGAAATGGATGGGAAATATGATGAGTCAGTGGCAAGTTTCAAATTTCCAAAGATTTGCATGGTGTAGTGAAAGCAGATTTTTTTACACAATGATACGTTGAGAGTTGGCTCCAAGAAACTGTTATATAAAAGGTTTTAAATTCCGCCTCTTGGGCAATATTTAGCAATTCAGGTCGTGGAAGGAAAGTTCGCGGATCAGACTAAAATCTTAGATGACAAAACTCACCAGCAGTGCGAAATACTGTTTATTGACTATGAAATTACACGCACGCTATTGGGATAATTTTATGTCAACACTGACTTTACCCGACATTTCACTAGGAGATATAGTCGGCCTCAAGTTAAAAGTTTATCGCGAGAATCTAAACTCTCACGTGAGAAATATTTGTATGATAAAATGGACCTAAAAAAATTTATAACAGATTCCATTTTAAAACAATATTCGAGAGAATTGCCGGCAAAGTGCTGTATAAAACGTTTTTATACTGAATAAGTTAGGATATTTGTCAAATGTTAACTCGTCGATCGAAACTGTTTTACACAGTTCGAATATAAAACTTAGTTATTTACCACAATTACTTGGAAGGAATAAAAATAGAAATTAATAGAACAAGACATATTGTCTGTCATTACTCGAACAATGTCATTAAACTCTGTTATAAAGTTCACCGCCAAAATAGCCCTTGGGCAGGTATATGTTTTATCAGTAGCTTGGAAATTCATTTTAATACGCAGGACCCCAAGTGAGAGATTATTCAATAAGAAACAACAAGGAACAAAGACCCTTATATCTGATTGGTCAACAAGTGCAAATAAAATATTCCAACGTTTACATGGATTGCGAAAGGTAAATTATGTAAACTTAACGACGACTTGCACAATGGGTTCTCCATGTTGAAACATTTCGGCGAATCTTCGATTTCTTCCGCTTGCGACATAGTCACAGGTGAATCGTTAATTTTTCTCATTATTTTTACACTTATGAGTTTAAGCTTGGCGTACCGTGTACTGGGTGAAGATTTAGTAATGCTACCAGCTCACAGTAAATTAAAAAGTGTTGGAAATTACTTCGTCTGCGTGAAAAGGTTCGTTCAATCCGCGAATCGCTATCATCTTACATCATTTTTGATTCAAGGGTAGTTGCAATCAGGAAACAAATTTGTAAGCAGATTACCGTGTTTGGAATATTCATCCTCTTTAGTATTTTTTTCCTTTACGTGTCACTAATAAACAGCGTCACCACAAGAGAAATTTAAAGATATGTTTTCCTTCTATCTGAAAACTTTGTGGTGGACATAACTTAATGTTGAAGCTAGAGAACTGACTCAGAATCTTAAGCTAAAAAAGAAAAATACAGGTAATCTATGTTTCATTTGTGAATTTCCTTTTGTTGGTCGATCTTTTTTAATTGCACGACGTTTCTTCCAAAGACGATGAAAAAATTCAAACATGTTTGTGTAAGAATTGAAGTTAATCGTACTATGTTGAGCGTCTGAACGCGCAATATTTCTCCTCATCAAAGAAGAGTTAATATAAAATGCGGCAAACTTTCACTGCAGTATTGGAAACAGTTTTCGATTCATTTTTTGACGATAATTTTGAATGAGCGTAACACGACAGAGTACATCTCCTTTTATCTCAAATATTTGCTCTCTTCATTTACACCTTTTAAAAAACATCTGGAATACGTAACGATGAATAGAATATGGAGATCTCCAATTGGCGACACTTGAAAAAAGCTAATGAGTACAGCTCTGTCGGCCTAAATTTTAAGCATCACGTATTTACTGAGCTGATAAGATTATACGACAATTCAAAAGGAGTTTACTTGCATTATTAATGCTTAACATAACACCACGAAGAAAGCTGGTGGCAAAATAGATCCAAGACAGTTAAACATTTTGTTATTCCGAGTGTCGAATTCACAATCACTTTCGATGAGTGATGTAAAAAGCGATTGTCTCACTCTCAAATTTTTGACATTTTGAAAACCGCAGAAACCAGAATTTTTTTCCTTCAAAGCCTTTTGCGGAGTGATTCATTTTCAAGGGTTGAATTAAACATTTCAAGTCGAACAATAAACGATGGTTAATATCAACAAACTCTAACTTGAGAGGAAAAAATTTGTTTACTGCTACTGGATAATCCATCTATAATATTCCTTCTTAAAATGTAATATAGAGGCACAGAATGTTAGAAAAAGCGCTTATTTAAAAAAAATTCAATAAACAAGTGAAACAGAGAATTTACGAACTTCTGTTCACAGTCATTCTGAAGTAATTTGAAAACAAGCGGCCTGAGGTAAATTTTCACTTAACAAAGCTGGCTTTGAATCTCTTCTAGAACCTACAGAAAAAAATATTCAAGGGAAATCGAATTATGCACAAAAAAAAAGTTACGTAATTAGATAAGGCGACTGGAATCTTCGAACCTTGAGGCTTATAAACAATACGTTGACTGTTTTAAACATTCCGCCTATCGCTTAAAAATTAGAAAATCGAAACTACATTTGGACATCATGGGCAAAATATATCATATTGATCGATAGTGCGTTAGGAATTGAAAAGTTTCGAGTTTTTTATGTCACACAATAGAAATCCACTGTTATTTGGCACTTGTGTTGAAATAACCTTTTCATGACGTCACTGAAGGACATGTTTAACAAAGCAATATTAGATTGTCAAATACCCTCGTCAAAGTCATTCCTAATAAGGGCCTTGCGCAGATCTGAATACTGATGCTAATGGCCGGCTTTTTTTGCTCGTCAATTCCATATGCCCTCAAGGTATAAATTCAGTCTACCAGGATTTTTTTTTATCGACCCACGAACATTGGTTTTCCGCATCCCAAAAGACGCAGCCTCGACCAAAGGTTAGTTTCAATTTTGCTTTCTGTAATAGTTGGAGGAAATGAATTGCAGATAAAGCTTACTTTTGAATCGAAATAGGATTTATGTCAGGTCCTCAATGAAATGAAGATAGACAACAGTCATAATGGCTTGAAATACCAAATTTATTCAATGAAACAAACGTAATATGAGAGTCAAACTATTGCTACAATGACAAATAAAATTGAGCATTTCTATCAATGTCATAATGATGTTTGCAAATCCACGAAATAATATAATAGTGAGTTTCAGTCTTTGTATCTTGTCAAACATTTTTAGCGTATTTGCCCGTAGTGGTTAAATAACTGTCTTGTTATTTTAAAGTATTTTTGCTTTCAAACTAAAATTTTAATAAGAAAAGAACAAAACTCACAATGCGCGTCGCCTTACGAATCTTTAGCTGATATTTACATTTGCTTTCGTTTGAGCAGTGTCTGCCGCGCTGAAAACTGAGGTTCGCCTCCTCTTAAACCGAGGCTTTCTCTTCAAATAGTACCGCTTAAAGAATTTGATATAAACTTTCATAACTTATTATTGACAGCAGACAGATATCATTTGGGTCTCAGGTAAATGATGGTAACCTGCAGTAACCAGCCGCTTTTATTTTATCTCATGCCCATGAGAAAAACGAACATGGTGTCAATGATATCGAGAGCCAGATTTTTCAGATTTCGGTTAGGGCAAGTATAAACTTTCAAATTTTCGACTTTGTAAAGCTCTATCAGGAATAGTTGCCAATGTATGTAGCCTTCTTATCTCTCCTTTTCGTTGTTAGACGAACGTATTAGTTTGAGATAATTTTAGTGTAGCTAAGCAGATGTTATCACCCGTTACAGCAACAACCTCTGTCACACATGCAATTTCAAACAATCAGTTTGTTATCGAAAAAGATTTACAATGCTCATGACTTATAACAAAAGGAATGGTAAGACCTTGATATAATTTTCGCTATCTTTATTATGGATATTAATTTCGTTTGTGTTCATAGATTTCAAATCAATTTGAATCTTCTAGAAGAACCCATTAACCAGGATCATTTACTGATCTCCGTTTACACGTGGAGGAAGACTGGATCCCGGAACGTCTATTGAGATTTTATCATTCGTGCTGGCCTTCGGATTATTCTCTGTAGCTATGATTTTAGCAATGGCTTTTCACCTCCTGTGCTTTGAAGAAAGAAAGCCGACTGTGAAGGCTGTTTTAAAAAGACACAGCAGACTTAAAAACATTGCCGACTACACCTTAGTGTGACATTCAAGGTATTGATGTTTACCCTTGTAGTCAGATTTTAAAGCAGATGGGTATTCATACGCAGCGCAAGAATTGATGTCAGTGAAAAGAACTACAGGTCCTCCTTTGTAAAAGAAATGTTTAACTTATAACTTAGTTAGGGGTGAAGAGAAAATGAATAAGATATTCTGTATTAGAAGAGAATTTCCATCTTGAGAACTAACTAGAATACGTTAAATATAATTGTGCTTAGAAGTGGAACCCTTTCATTCCCAGGAGGAGCAATATCTAATTAATTTATACATACAGTTCATTCAATACTTTATCACGCGTCGAAATAACCATCGTTAACAGCGATTCGAGGTTCATATTTTTTTGTTTTTACAGCATGCAAATTCTCAAAACTGACTAGACAAGGATAAGTGTGAGAAACTGTACAGAGAAAGAGAACTCGTATATTGAGACCATAAAAGTGAAAGGGTTAGGCAAAGATAGGTTCCCGTAGAGAGCAGAAATGCCGATCTCCATGTAATTATTTTGAATTTATAAATATTCAAACATACTATTTCAAATAAAGCGTTTCACATCTGATTAAAGTTCTAAGTAATCTTTGCTTCGTCGTCATATATCTTATTTTACAATGCAATCTTTTCAAAGCAACTTTCATTTCTCACTAACAGTTAATATTTACCTCAACTTCATTTGTTTTGGCTATCATTTCCTCTTGGATGTAATATTTGGCATTTTTGCGGAGGCAGTAAATTTTTTTAATGAATGATGGAGGTGAAATTTTTACAGCGTTTATACCCTCAGCACAGGGTAACACGTGTAATATTCTTTAAATGATCCGATCACTCACTAGCACTAAAAACTTGGTTAGCATTATTTTTTTTTAAGAACATCCAAGGTTCACTCGTCCATTTAAGGTCATGGACAAAAAAGCAACATGTATTATAGATGAAAATGAAGAATTAATCCCACACAACTCAGTTGTTATCAACAGAAGGCTGACTTATCCTCCTCGTCACAACAAAGACGTTTATCGATTCCTTGGTGAACTCAGCAATTCAGTCTAGGATTCCAGACCCTAGCAATACCAAGCCAAACTTAAGTTGATAATACTCTTGGTTGCCTACTAAACACCTCAGTATCGGGTTAATTATTCATGTTGTCTAAGATTGTTAGCTGCAAAATGGCACTTGTTATTTATTAGAGAGGCGGTTTTTGTTTGCCAAATGGTTGTTGTTTTTGTCGCTCTTCCTGCTGTTACTGTTGTTGTTGTTGTGTACAAATCACTCTTTAACGTCCCAAGTTTCTCTGTGTCTCTCGAAGCGTCAAACTGAACAAGAATATTCGAAGTTCGCTGCTCTCTTCCTCCTCTCTGATAATAAAACAGACCTTACTTTGAGTGTTCTTCTTTCAAAACATAACAGATGCGCCGCTACTGCGATCACCATGAAAACAGAGAATATGGCGGCCGCTAGAATCAAGGAAAAAATCTTTACAGTTGCTTCAGACTCCAGTGTTGCAAAGATTATTGCGTTCTTTTAGGGCATTGAGTTCCAGTAGATCAGAACTTTGTGCTGCGTTTTAAGCAACTGGTTGGCAACCTGGTTAGAAAAATGAATATGAATGAATTTCGTATTATGGAAAGGAAAATCACTGCAGACGTCACATTGTGGTTGTACCGTGAGCGTTTCGAGTTATTAATGATATCAATGTGAGCTTTCAGAACACGCGTGGTTTAAGAAACTGGTTTGGTAGAAAATTATTCATCGGTTCGTAATATCGCATGATCATTTGGATAAAACTCAATGATCCTCCCCTCTTCCCCCCTCTTCCATATCCTACGTAAAACTCACAATTTTTCACAAATGACACTACGATAGTAACATGTTTCTTAAAGTATAACATTGTAATAGTTGTAAAGGCAGTCATTATCTTACCAGTTGGACAAATGAACTGAGTTCTCAGTGCAAAACGTGCAGTGTTAGAGATTGTAACTGGTAAACTTTACTTCAGAGACATTCTGTACTTTTTTACAACGTCTCTTCCCTAAGGGCTTTTTGGATCAATAAAATACAGCAAAATTTATAGTATTTGTTTTCCAAACAGTTTTTCCCGCTACTTGATAGCATAATAGACGATTCATCAATTGATACATCACGGAACCTAAGATTAAGATAAAACTAAATGGTGCATTAGCAAGTGCAAATGTGTGAGGAGCAAACCTTTTACTTATAGGGCCCTTAAGAATTTGTGAAAAGGCGCCATTACTACTTTTAGCTTAAAAGTTCTAACTCACTGATTTCATTTTACCAAAAAATAAATAAAATATATTTGTCATTTTGCGTTTTTTTTACTTTTCGGAAAAGGATTGGTAGTTTTGTGTACTGCTGCTATATACATTACGAACCAATCAACCTACCGTGTGGTTTTGTAGTCTGCTTCAATATTTTTATCAGCTAAGTAGGATTAAAGCCGGTGTCTTCTCTCAAAATCACTAGTCACCTCGGATTCAGATACGTGCGCGTGGCATTTAAAAGCTGGAGAGGTAGATAGTACTTCCTAAAATGTTTTGTCTTAAATCGATTTTCGTGCAATTTGCCTCAAAAGGACATCTGCAGATACGATGTCGCCAAACTGTCTTTATGCTACATCTAAATTATTCAATTTGACTATGCGTTAACGCAAGTAAATGAAATGTACAGGGTAACCAATACGAGCCACAGGACCCGTAAGCGACTACGTCGATACTTATTCAGTTGATTTCCTATCAAATATTTGTCGTTTTTCCTATCTGTTTTTTTTTCTATGTAAAGAGCTACAGTTGGCAGTATTGTCGCAATCTGATCTGTCAATTTGCCGTTGTTGAAAAGAGTACAGATGAAGCTGCTCGCGTTAACGTGTCACGCAATGGTCACGCACTGTGAGAATCGCTGTATCTGCTGACAGAGTACAGACCACGCTAAATCACTGTCGATTTGTTAATTTCCTGATACAAGTTTAAAAATTTTTTTAAAAAAATTGTAAAATTGGATGCAGTAAATGCAAATTATCCTTAAGCTCTCAGCCTTATTAAAATAACATAATTTTAAAATCTTACCACAGGCTTGTCTTAAATCAGAACTTTAAAGTGCGAGTTTTGAAGTGAAGAGATGTAATTTATCTCCAACACCTTTTTTTTTACTTCAGGCGTTCTTTTCTTTATTGTTTCCAATACTAAAATTGAATTCCGTCTCCAATTCCGTAAAAATCTTGAGTATTTTGCCATTTGATATATGTTAAATTGATCAAGATAAATTTGGCAAAAACGAGGCCGCCATTCGCAAACAACATTAATTGTTCTGTTGGAAGCGCGACTTCAAACACTTTTAACAGTGATCCAAACTTAATTTCAAACATGTTTGTTTTGGAAAACTTTTGAAATATTTTCCCCTAAGGTAGAGAATAAACGATTTCCGAAAGACAAATTTTACAAAAATTTCGAAAGAGTTTACCCAAAAAGGAGATCAATTAGTTCGCCTTAATCATAATTTATAATTTTGCGAGAAGCAAATTATGTTGATGAACGAATTTTTACCGGGCTTTAAATTAAGAACCTCTGGCAAATTTTAATCGCAGAGATATTACAGAAATTGTTTGATATTCTGAAACATGGTGAGAGCTGAAAAGGCGAAGTGATGTCAAATCTCCCCACGATAAGAAACTTCTAACTTGAATTTTCTCCGAAACCCGATCAGGTGTAAAAACATTGAATGTGAAAAATTAAATAGCTTATGCTATGATTAAAAAAATATGGAATTGCGTTAATCTTGGCTGAAGTTATTGAAAACCCACTGGGTAACTCTAAAATATTGCTCAGCGGAAATTTGGTAAACAAAGTAAAAACACTTAAAAAGGAAAGACAACAAAACATTGCTTCTTTTATCCTCACATTCATGTACTATATCCTGACAAAGATCTCGGAGAAGGACATTTCGATGTTTTTTCCTTTGAAATTTAGCTTTTGAGTTTCGCTTGTTTTCTTGAAGTCCTTTCCTGTAATTTAATGATGTTACAACAAGGTGTAACAAAATAGAAGTATACGAATTATCCACGGGAGTCAGATATTTTAGTTTTCATGTTCCCAATTGTTACATGTGTGAAAATAAACTTTTTGCAAGGGTAAATCGTGGCTTTCAATATCGAAACCTTCAGCTGAGATGACAGCAATTAAGTTCCTCAGTACTAGTACTCCAAAACTGAACAATTTCAACTTAATAGCCGGTAAATCAGACATAACGTGATCTTGCCAGGCAGGGTATTTTCACGGTCAACGCTTAAAATTAGTTCATAAAATTGGGTAGTAAACCCTTAACAAAATAACTTTTCATACCTGAGTTTCTATGTAAAATCACAGTGAACGCATAGACGAAATCGTTTTGTGAGAAAAATCTGTGTTGTTTGTTGATAAACACCAGCATAGGAAATATTGTTTCTCGCTAACTTTTTTTGGTTCCTATTTGATCTTATCCTTTTAAGTGCCGCCCATAATATTATATATTGGCGGATTCTTTTCTTTCCGCTCTATCGAAAGTGTTTAATGCCGTTAATGAAACTAAATCATTTCAAATTTTTCCGTCACCAGAAGCTGTCTGTAACCGCCGAACTTTCAACATTATCTCAACCTCTATCAAATTAAAAAGCGCTAAGCGCTTAATATTTGTCCAAAAGATATTAATCTTGAAAGTTTCACTTTTCTCGCTGATGAATTTAGAATTTTCAATTGAAACTTATCTTCACCTGCCAACGTGTCGGATTCTTTATATTTCAAATGTTCTTAAGCGTGTCATAGGAAAAGAAAATCTTTTATCATTGCGGAATTGATATGTGTGTTATTTATTTTGTTTTGACTTCTGATCTGATTGTGTTGATGATTTCGAGTGCAGTTTATTTCAAAACAGCTACAGTGTCCTCGAATGAATCTTATTATCCCATGCTGTGTAATACAAATACAGTGGATTCTTCAATTTTAATTTTAGAAGGAACCCATTACCTTAATTGCTTGGAGGTAACCCTCGTTTTACCTCGCTTTTGAAAGCTTACTAAACGTAATAAAAAGACCCCATTGATTTTTCAGATTTCAAAACATTACCCCTATCGGGTGATAATCATGTCGATGTTCCAGTGTTATGAGTAATTATTGTAAATATAAGCTTCTAGAAATCTCTAGACTGCTGAGTCATGCCGACTTGCACACCATAAAACTTTCCAGAACATTTCATCAAGTCACGCATTTATTATGTAATACTACTAACATAGTTCTTGTGTAAGCTTCTGGAATGTTCCAGAACACTTTGTGTATATACATACATACATACATACATATATATATATATATATATATATATATATATATAGGAAGTCTGCAAGTCGATTTCGCGTGGAACAGTGCTCAATACGTTGAAGCAGAGCAGAATAAATAGAATATATATATATATAAAAAGACTCACTTGTGTAGTAGTAAGTAGTTGTTGTTGTCAGAGCGATGACTGTTTAGAAAGCCTTATCGAGAGAGAGCTACTGCAGAATATTGCTCATTTCAAAGAACTTCGGAGAGAGTAGTGAGATTGTGTCAGTAGTGAGCTAGGATATAGACTGCGGTGGGGTTAATTAAGTTTCTTAACTATAAGTATTGTATTGCTTTTAGAAGTCGCTCCTTGCTAAGAACATTATTCGCTGTTTAATAAAGTAGCTTAGCGTATGGGATTGCAGTGTTTTTCTGTCGGTTAGATTATACCGTAGCATCAGATATTGTGAAAGCAAAAGGAAAAACCAGAATATGAAGGTGAAAGACATGAGAGGAAGGAAAGCCTGAGCCCGCGACTTTCTTTTGTAGCAGCCAAGCAGTCTACAAATCTTGTAGAAATAAAATAAAGTAATCGTGGTCCTAAAAATTTGTGTCAGCGTGAACATTAAGAGCAAATTTCACATTGAAAAGCTACATTCATTTTCAAAATCAGATACAGGTCCACAGAAGATCGATACCACCCATCAGTCAGTCAGTAAATTTACGTACTACTCTCACCAGCTCTACAATGAACTGCTCTGATTTGGCAATTTTAAAAATAGATAAAATAGGATGGTTTTTTTATGCTCACGATCTTGATAACTGATCTGAGCAGCTTAAATATGTTCCTGTTAACGCTTTACCAAATAAGGGCCTTTTTCTTGAACTATCTGTTATGACATTGACGAAAAATCAAATTTCTACAGCTGGAGGAGTATTTTCTATAAACACCGCTATCTACAACAATTCATAATAAACTTGGTCAAGATTAAACCGTTTACCGCGTTTGCTTTTACACTAGAGGTTTCTCGGGTTTCGTAATAACTATTTTAATTTGCATTTTAATAATGAACGTACGTGGACTAACAGAATATGTGAATAAACTCAACTTGTTAAAACACAGAATAAAAATATTTCATCTTGTAACTTCGGTCTTTTTTGACTATCCCTCCCGCTCTGAAGTCATTTCAAAGCTGCATTGTCGGGTTAAGGTTCTGAGTTATTTCTAAAAAAAAATTTTTACAGTACAGCCGGTTCGAGCCGACCGACTAACATGGAAACACCAAATATTAAATTCTTTGTAAGAAACCAAAGAAATAAAACAACGACAACGACGACATATCTTCATCTGTGTTTTACTATACCTTCAGATGGAGTCAGAATAAATGCAAATACATCTAGTTTATTTTAGGTCATCAGTTGTTTACAGCGTTTAATTCAAGTCCACCAAAAATTTCCATGCAAAACTCGATTCAATCTTACATTAACGCACTAAGGCCTGGTGGCCGGTGTCTCGAGCTTCGTCATGGAAATCCCTGTTTCTTCAAAGTTCAGTCTTAACTAACAATATAAGACAAGTAAATTTTTTAAAGAAAAAATTTGCTTGTTTAAAATCTAGCTTGAAGCTTAAGTATTTGTTTCCCATGGAAAGGCCAGGATCCAAATTTCAGAGCCATGGGGAACCATTGAAATAAATATGAAAACTTACCGAAGATAATGTACAGAATTATACAATCAGCAGGCATGATTAAAAACGACAACCTAATAATAATGAATGGACACAATGATAAAAAATGATAACATTAAACCAGCAATTCAGGATTTCTGTCTTCTGCATCGACCGATGGCTGTCCTGACAGAGCAGGGAGATGAATGTGGCCACTGTCAGCTTTGTCTCCAAACGAAACTGTGAAGTCCTCTGATCCATTTGAACTTTCATAGCCAGCATTCTCTTCATCGCTGGTAGGCGATACGTGGCGAGGGGCATGCTACAAAAGTGTGCAGTAATGACAATCTTTGCTTTTTCTCAAAAATCAAATGGCTTCAGTTTCGGTGAAAAAAGGGAAAATGATTCAAGACGCTAATCCACTTCGTTATTCATCTAATTGACCAATTAGACTCGAATAGCCTTGCGGATATAAGACCGTTGTTCGCAATTCTTTTCACGGCTACTGACCGCTGACATAAGAGTCCTTCGGTCTTTCCACCATCAATTATTTCTGTAGTTGGTTCTGTCATGAACTAGCTACCTGTTGCATAACAACATCGAACACCTACCGACTGATCTGGAGAAAAATCCGTCTGAGACAGCAATTGGTCAGCAGCGTCTCCACTAAAAGTCCCGTCGCTGAAAGCTATTAGGTTTCCAACAGTGTCTGTAATAGAAATTACATCATGACTGATCAAGAACGAAAGTCCACGTCCCTGGTTTTATAGCTATCAGAGTAAATGGTTCCCTGGAGTGGGGAGTAATCTCTTCATTTGCGTGAACCGAAAGAATCTGCCAAACGGAAGATGACATTTTGGGTATGGCCTCTTGAAAGGTTATAAATTGTCTCTATTTTCACTCCTGATGCTTTCGAGAACTGAATGCCTAAACCCTTTCACACCCAAGATCCCACCGGAAATTCTCCTTATTGTCTGCAACGCAATTCTTATGATTTTAGTTCGGAGAATTTAGTATTGAATTAACAAATTACTTGATACTTTTCTTTATCCCATCACTTATCTGTATGGTATTACGCTGACATTAATTGTAAGTAGAAATTCTGTCTTGGTCACTCATACAGGATGTGGACTTAGCGATATGCGGTCCACATGAATGATACTAACGATTGCTGTTAAATTTTATTCCCAAAGCTACGACTCGATTTGTTAAACGGTGCTACCGAGGTTCGATCTGTTACAATTTATGCAGCTTGTTTCTCTAATAAAAAGGCAAGAAAATGAACAGATATTTTCTCAAACACGAGGTTCTGGGTTTGAGAGCGTTTACAGCTGCCTGCGTTCAAACTCCTTATGGGACCCCTGGGGATACCTGTCACGCTATGGCTCTTACCTAGACCTGCTGTCGGAGGCAGAGAAAAATCGTGGGACGGATCTACATTTACATAGGGTTTTTCTTCTTTTTGCATGTCAAATAACTGCTCTTGCAAGCTCTGAAAAGAAGGTCGGTCTCCACATTCATGTGACCAACAGCCGAGCATGATCTGGTAGCTAAAAATCAAAACAATACGAGAAAATAGTGTGATCGCTTGAAATTCAAACCCAGAAAATTCACACGCATACATTGCATTCACATAGCAAAACGTAAGTCGGGCGAATCTGAGAATTTTGATGGGGGGTAGGGGAGGGGAGGGGAGGTACAGACTTAAATTCAGAAAACACAGAATTGTTTTTACCTAAGAGCATCAATAGCTTTAGAAATATCTCATGATCAGTATATTTTGAATACTTTAACATGAGTGTTAATATGCGATCCTGTCGATGAAAGAGTTTTGGTTTCAGACTAGTTGTAGAAATACCTACATGCCTAATGGGAGGAGGAGGAGCCTGGAGCCTGGATCCCCAGACCCCAGGACTATTGTCGGTGACATGGACTAAAATTTCAACACTGGTCAATTTTGTTGCGATGGCAGAAGAACAGGTATGTCTAAAGAAGAATCTTACATTTCATCTGTGCAATTTGTCGGTTTCTCCATCCTCTCCCCCTCCAAGAGGAACTCTAAAAGGTCTCTGTCGTTTATCGTTGGGTATGGAAAACCACCTAAAAGTACATGCAAAACAGATAGAACAAGGGTAAGTGAGATTATCTGTCTGCAATAATGCGCAGGAAATTGTACAACAGCATCATCCACAAAATCCCAGCAAGTAAGACACAACTATGACACAAATACAACTCAATCTTAGAGTCAAGCTTACCCAGGGTGCAAATTTCCCACAGTACAATCCCGAATGCCCATCTGCATAAAAAAAGGAGATCATGATTCATAAGATGACAGAGAAGGAAAAAATTTTGGAATATATGTAAGACCAGGTGCCAAAGGTCTTGGAAATAATCTAAAAAGTCGTATTTGATGTCCAGTGCTACTTACATATCGCTTTCAGTGGAGTAAATGCGGTCGCGCATGGCTTCTATCGACAGCCACCTTAGAGGAATTTTACCAGTGCTTCTCTTCACATAAATGCCTTCCCTTGACAGACCAAAGTCAGAGATTTTTAGCACTTTGTCGTCACCAACCAGAATATTTCTCGCTGCCAAATCTCGGTGCACTATTCCTCTTCCAGATAGATACGCCTTCAATCACAAAAGATAGCAAAATTGTTCTTCGGTCAGCGGGATGATTACAATGGAAGGCAATACTTAGATGCCTATCAACACGCATGAAAAAATTACGCGATTCCGATTGGCTAAAAGCCGGTGCTATTTTTAATGTAAGACGAGTGCAAAGTTCTAATACGAGCGCAAATTATAAATTGCGCGTACAGTCAAAATTTTGTTTATCTTGACTTGCTGTGATGCATTTTTTCATGTAAATGTTTACCCATAATTTACTCGAGCTGATTTATACCAAATTGCACCCGAAATCATGTGATTACCTCTACAAAGTGGTCAAATACGCGCAAGGGGCTCAAGTTTGGCCAGCCGCGCAAATTTTCATAGGAAAGCATAAAAAAACGATGGCTGTCACGAAAATCATGTGTGAAACAATTGAAATGCTCGAGCTCATTAAAATTCAGAAAAGGAAACAAAAGTAGGCAGGTCAAGGGAAACTCAAGACTTTTTAAACTCGGAGCTTATGGAACTACAGGTATCCCGTTGATTTAACATTTTGTTTTGAGCTTTACCGAAAAAGGTTACACGGTTAAACTGAACACTATGACTAACCGACTTGTGTGATAACTTGAAACTCCTGTAAGAAAATTCGTCATGACTGCCTGAAAGCATGTTTCCGAGTTATTACAACGTTCGCGCATGCGCAGAAGTCGACTGCTGTGTCTACTTAGATTAAAAATAAATCTACTTACCATTCCATTGGCAATCTGATAAGCGAAGGACTGGAGATCACCAGATTCCAAAGCACCATCGAGACTCATGGCAGAAGCAGCTTTAGCTCTAGAAGCTTCTTTAGAGTCTATTGCTAAAAAAAGTCAATTAAGATCGAGTAATTCAGTGGCAAATATAGCCAATATCGCAGACCTTCATTCAAAAGCGCAAACTAGATCTGCTCTTGCTCCTCATGAGACACTCTTTATTCGCGCAAGGTTTTTATAAGAATTCCAACATTCCTGAACTTCAAACCAAACTCCAAATGCAATGAAAATTGAACATTGTTCACTGACTTGATTTACGATTTCCCCCTCAACATAGCAAGGATTGAGGTAATACAATAATGCAAATATGCGTGATGTCAAAGGTGTAAAAGTTGCAAGTAGCAGAAGCAATCAAATTATATTGCAAGTGGCATTAGTTATCATATTGCAGTGTAAGTGGTTAAAGTGTCAGCATTGTAAGCATCATAAGCTTTTATTGTACTGTAATATTATTAATAGCGTAAGTGATCGTATTGTAAGTAATGTATGCACTGTATTGAAAGTAATACATGTAGTGTAAAAGTATTGTTTGATCGTGCGGGTGAATGTAGTCTTGAGAAGGACTGTTTTCGGTAGTGGTGACTGACGTTTCGACAACCTGAGCGGAAGTCATCATCAGAGTCAAGTGAATGGTTTTTGTCATTCGAATGTTCTAAGTCCGGTTTGTATAAACTGATTGGTCAGTTTTGCCGTGATCGATGTTATTGGTTGTTAGACTCAAGTGGCGTAGGTTGGTCGATCCATGAGTAACTTTGGGTCGTTCTGTTCGATTCGTTTATAATGTTAATGTCGTGGATGAGTCGTTTTTTGGTGCCGGTAGTGGTTGACCCCTGTTGAGGGGAGTCTGTTCTAAGTCAGTAAACCAGCTTTCTAGAGTCAGTCGTTGAAAGTAGTTGGTGCTGTAGGTTAGGCGTTTTACAGAGTCCCAGTCAATAGTGTGGTTCTTAAAGTCGGTGATGTTCAGTAATGTGATTGTTGACATCGCCTTTCCTCGTCGCTCGTTTGTGTTTAGTCAGTCTGGTTGTGAGGTTTCCGCCAGTCTCATCAATTTAGGAGGCGTGATAGTCGGAGCAATTGATCTTATAAACTGCTCCCTGTCTGTTCCTCGGTTCGTCTTTGTCTTTGACGTTAGTCAGTAACTAACGTAGTGTAGTAATGGGTTTGTGAGCGACGTGAATATTGAAGGGTTGTAAGATGCGCGAGATGTTATCAGGTACGCCCTTTATGTATGGTATAGTCGCTGTAGTCGTAGGAGTTGCATTGTCGCTAGTTCATCGCGTAGTTCGGTAGTTTCAGTAGGTCGGTGAGTGTTTCGTCGGATGAACTCTTCTTTGTAGATGTTCTTTGGAAAAACACGGTCAAGGTACTAATTCTCAATAATTAGTGTAAGTCTTAATATTGTAAGTGGCGGAATTAATCATACCGAATGAAAATGGTCAACATCTTTGAGATTAACAAGAAAATTGTTTCCCTACCCACTGTTGTTGTTTCTGTGTTGTTTGATGCATCTGTAGGGCCTCTAGCTACGTAATGTGCCGAAGGGATTTCTGAGGCCCTCCTGACGGTGTTCAGAACAGACAGAGCTCTTAAGCTCTTCAAGCTTGTTGATCTCTTGAACTCGGACTTCTCGCTTGAGTCAAGAGACTTCTCGCATTTTTTCTGAAGGCAGATATTCCATAAGAGAAAGAAAAAAAAGGAGTGATTTTTTTTTTGCATTTTTCTTGATTAACGTATCACTTTCACCCACACTTGTTTTAGATTTAGCAAAACGAAACCTTTTTTAATGCAGCTGGTTTTAGGAGTTAATGAGGAGGCAGGTATGGCAATCAAAACAATTTATTGGTGATTTGATTAGCATTTTAAGTTTAAAATGGTGCATGAGTGTCCATAACAATACATTATAAGACATCCAGTAACTGAAATTAAACATTTGTGACCTTTCAGACGAGGAGGTGTTAAGAGAATACTGGTGAACCTCAATATTAGGGCTAAGAAGTTTATTAAAAGAACTAAAGCGTTCAGATTTGTACCAGACAAATAAAACGCATAGAATGCTAGTGTTTTCATTAAGTGGGGGGGGGGGGGAAGATGAGGAGTAGTTTATTTATAAAATGATTTAATGAGGGTTAATTTTTAATGATTTATCTACGCAGTTCATGAAAACTACTTGAGAAGTTTAAAACAGGCTTATTCTTACGATCCAGTTGGCGATTGTGAGTTGTTTACCCTCTGATTTGCAGTGTCTAAGAGGCGGACGATGAATATTTGACTTGGATGAACATGGTTGGTTGTCTTGTGGCTGTGATGTTTGATTGAACTCGAGTTGGGACGCTGCCAACTCTAAAGCCGAAATGGCCTGGAAACGACATTATTAAAATGCTTATTTTACTCGTAGTACTTAAATGTCGCAGTCCAGAAGAAATATGTAAGTTGTCAGTCTCAAGTTAAGTGTTGCTATGAGGTTAAGAAAAGTTTAAATTAATAACATTTTATGGTCATAAAACATTGCTATCCTTTACCACAGGTTTCAGGTGGATGTTGTTTTACAGCACTCTACGAACAAATCCAATCATTGCTTTGAATGGAAGTTGGTGCGTTAAATGTTTTAATTCATCAATTAGCACATGCGCTTAGGCACAACGACAAAATTTATTTCCTGTGGTAAGTGCCATGAGATATGTTTGAGGCGTTTGGATCTGAGCAGGTGAACTAGTTCGAGTACATTAAATCAAAGCTTGCTGGGTTTTTCAGTTGACAGTAAACAGTAGTGCCCAGGACTTACCGTGTCACTAGCTGAAGGTATCAGGGGACGATGGGAGTAGCTGCCTGCGGTGGACTCTGAACCGTTCGGGGAAGTTTGTGACGTGCTTAGTTTCTCTTCGTTTTTGAGACCTTTTCCATTATCTCCTTGTAGCTTTCGATACTGTTGCTCAAACTAAAAATTGGAATAAACTTATCAAAAGAGAACCAAGAAGTATCTCACAATAAGACGGCAACAGCTGCAGTTGTAAATAATTTGAGCTGTCGTAGGTTAGTCAAGGGGCATTTTATTCTTTCTCACTGGAAATAAAATGCCTGACGTCCTTCTAAAAGTCAGGGGTCAGTGAAACGAAAATGAAAAAAACACAAGGCCGATATCCATCCGTCTTGACCGAGCAGGCGTGGTTAATAAAGGAATGAGAATTTTCTGCGTGTTGTATATTGCGGTATAGCCCATGAAACCTAGCGAGTCAAAGTCGTCAAAAGGGGAATATCAAGACCAATAAATATGAACCAACTTGACCGAGAAGAGATGGTCAATTGAGGTTTATTACATGGCCAAAAGACCTCCTATATCTCGCTGACTGTCGATCGACAAAAGACTTAAAAAAGTACATATTCTTTTCTCGTTGCTGTACTTTTTGTTTCAAGAAAATGGCTGATTCAAGTTCTGGTTACCGTTTTTCTGAGGTCTCTCAAATAATGTAGCAGATCCCCATGTGGAACACATTCAACCACGAGACACAAAGGAGGGTAAAGAGTGCAGCATCCTAACATGGTTACTACGTTTTCATGATGACCAATCGTCTTCATAAAGTTGATTTCCATCTTAAAATCCTCCACTTCATCTTCATTAGCTTTGTCTGTTCAAGGAGACAAAAAAAAGCAGGTAAAAAAAGGAAGACAACAAAATAAGTGTTGGTGTTTTACGTATGAAATTTGTATGAAATAGTAAAGGACTTTCTTTTGTTTTTGTTTTCATGGGTTTTGCTTGGTCTCAATTGGAATGATGCACTGGTATTTTAGTGATCGTGGACTTAATCTCAGCTCTGGTCAAATTATAAGTACATTGCATCGTTTCTCGGTTGAATATATTATATTTTCCACTGATCATAAGTAAAACCGTTCTACTTTGACTAACCGTTAAGTACTTTGACAGCGACCACACTTGTGTTTTCACTTCCTCCAATGCCATACGCTTCCGCTAGGAAAACTTTTCCAAAGGCTCCTTTACCAAGGACACGTTTAAGTTCCAACCGATGAAAACCAAACTCAAACTCGTCCGCCTCACCAGTCTCCACCGCTTCTTGAATACGCTGCTCCACGTAGGCTGGGTTCAATTCCAGTCCTCCCTCGGACTTAGATGGTAAATTGACAACACGGTCGAAACTAAAATAATAATCCAGAGGTCTCATTTTAAGTTAATTAAACATGTATTTAAGCATACAAATAAAGATCAGTCATATTTTTTTCTTCAATACATGCATCTACCAGCCGTAGGAGTCGTTCATTCTGTTGTGATATACGCAAGACCACTAAACCCTTTGATCAACTGGTTATTCCTTTATTGATGTTTTTCGTTATTTTTATCACTTTTCCGCTTGAAGAATTCTGCCTTGGTCATTGATGGGAGTGAAGGATTGACAATTAAATGGCATTATTAGCCTCCAGTCACTTCTCCTTCCATAGAAGAGCGATCCAAACATCCATGAAATCAATTCTAAGCTCTCTCATTTTTAAGATGAAAAGAGCTGAAAAGTGTCTTTTATTTCACCTGCTGTTAGCATCCAGACTTGACGGAACATCGCCAACATTCCTTCGTGGACTGACTCTGTCGTCGGAGTGACTCGCGAGGCGTCGTAGTCCCATATGCTCCTTGAAGGGTTTCTTATTTTTACGATAGAAGCAAAACATCGCAAGTAATAATACCACCACCGCTAACAGGATGATAGGCACTGTGATGGCAGCTACTGTTCCTGGAGACGTTCTTTGTGCTGCAGTTGTGGAGACTGTACGGAGAAATATTTAGAAAAAAAAACCAATCATCGCATTGTCAAAAGTTATGAAGTGAAACTTTTTTTTGTGTAATTGGCTAAAAGTTTTGCGTTGGCATGGATATTTTGAGTTTAAATATCGACGCTATGTAAACAGAGCTGATCCTGTTCGTCATGAAAGCTTGATCAAGTTTTTAGCTGAGTGAGGAGTAATTAGGGGTCTGGGTTTACAAACAGAGATCAGCAATACAGTTGAATCTGTAGTTTTTCAATCAAGTTTAAGAGTCCATATTTAATATCTAAGATGCATTTATTATGGCACTTTCATAACTCAGTGCTTCAAATGCTTTCATCCTAATGGTAAAGACTTACCTTCCCCTGTACTCTCAATCGTGGATGTAGCACTTATCGTGGGGGTGGCACTTGTCGTGGTGGTGGCGCGTGTCGTGGGCTTTGTGGTCGCCTCCGTCGTTGGAGCCATTGTCGGTATAACAGCTGCACGTTAAGACGAGATATTTATTTCAGAAGAATTTGCACGCTTAGCTTGTAGTTTATACCCTCAGGCTCTCATTTGTGCTGTCGTGCGATCGAAACTTCAAGAAATCTGCCAGCTCGTCTCCGCAGTGCCAGAGAGCCTGCTATCAGGCTAACCATACAATAGCGAACATTACCTAATTTCTAACCCTTTAACTCCCAAGATCTCATTGGTAATTCTCCCTACTGTCTGCCATAAAATACGTATGATCTCAATTTGGAGAATTTGGTATTAGATCAACTTGTAGTCCCCTTATTGAATTTTCTTCTTTATTCTCCTCGAAAGTCTGATTGATTCTGTGTTGATATTCTAAGGAGAAATTCTGTCTTGGTCACTCAAGGTAGTCAAAAGGTTAAAGGTAATCTTTCGGCGCTTGAGGCCCCCACTACAGATTTTGCCATTTCTGAATCAGGTTTATAGCTGTATGCTGGTCGAGTCGACTTAGAAAGAGAAGAGAAAAAGGAAGGAGAGAGACGGTGTATAGAGAAATAGCTGGGTCTCAGGAAGAGTTCATTAGTAATCGCATGGTGGTGTGAGGGGGTGGTGGTGGCGGTGTGGTTTGAAGAATTTGAGGTGGGGGAAGGATCACATGGTTTTCGGGAGGAACCGAAGGGGATCAGTCATTGCTAACAGAGTATGAAGGGGGTGACTTTTGGAAATTGACTGCCCCCCCCACTAAGGGGGGGGGGTTCATAAGAACATAACAGAACCCTAAAAGGGAGGGTGGGGGGGAATCAGGGACATTTTGTCACGAAACAATCAAAAACCTCAAACCTCCCAACCTCCCCCCATCCCAGGCACTAAATATCGACCGGTTTCTTATGGAGGAAGGCAAACATACAAAGATATTTTAGCGTTTAACTTTACCACGGAATTTTTTCCCTGCTACTGTTTCGAACCGGCAGCCACTACTGTCATATGCATAAACCTAAACAGTGGACAAAGAAACAAATATAATTGAGGTTCTCAATGAAATGATGGCTTTTACGGGCTAACGGCTAAAATTTTGGGCCAATTCACGGCTGACGGTTACTTTCTTTCGCTCTCTTCGACAGGAAAAGGTTTACGGTTAACTTTTTTTATGACTCACGATTAAATTTTTCCAATTTGACGCTCAACAGCTAAATTTTTCTATCTTTTAAGGCTAACTGTTGAGCCCATTTAGACCCCAATGATTGGTGTTGACTCATTAGGGTTTTATCAACAGAAGTTAACTTAGAACCAACTTACATATCATAATGAAGTACCACTCAGTAACCCTCATCAGATTCCCCACTCACCAGGGTTTCATTCCAAGGCAGAAAAATAGAGACGCAAAAGTGTCACGGTAATACTTACAAGAGCACGATATTCTACGCCGTTGGTCAAGTTGAAGTACGAGAAATTGTACGTGTTATTCTGAAGAAAAATGAAAATAAAACCTATCAATGTCTTTTGTATCCGAGCAACATGATTACGCCACTTGCAGCACCAAAATCCTATAGAGCGTGCTTTTCATGAGTTGCATTTCTCAGTATTAATTACTGCCTTACTTTGACCTGGTTCTAGCTACTGTCTGCTGTTTATAGTATGATTCCCCTTTTCCTCTCTTATACAAGTACTGTTTTGTTTTAATTTATGGGAAAAAGGAATTTCACTAGAAGGGCGTCTAATAAGCTTGGTTACATGTTTTTCTTTCTACGTTTTCCCTCTTTGTTATAATCATTAAAACGGCTTGTAATCGTTGAAACGGAGGGGAAAAATCGAAGAAAAATAAAAATTAAAGAAAAAAGTTCATGGATTTCGAACGAAATATGAAATAATTTAGTGACTCCTCCGCCAAAGTTTAAATAAGTGTGAATGTGCAATATATCAAACAATGGTTTTGTTTGCAATTGGGTGTTGCTTATCTTACCGGTCCGTTTAAGCTTGCATTGACAATGTCTCTATGATGTCCTGTTATTGGAGAGCAGTGTATGAGACATTCTAACAAAAGAATCCTAAAAGAAGTAAGCAATCATGTAGTCAATAAAAAGAAAGAGGAAAGAAACAGTCCTCAATTATTCACAGTATTAAATTACTATTAGTGGTGGAATCTTTTGTAAGTTTAGGGACGGTATTTGATTTCTCCTGTGTGTAATCAACTGAAACGATTTAAAGGCGAAATCGAAACATTGTGTAAATTGTTTTTTCAAAGTCTAATATATTTCGAACGAGCTTCATTTCAAAGATCTCCATTCTCTTGCATGTACTGTAACTTATCAGCTAAGAGAGCATCAAATGAGTTGTTCTGAATTTTTATTGGTGCACGTGCATGGCGTATTTCTGCGGATTACCTACCTGCCTTAACACTGAGAAACAAACTCATTAAAATAGCCAACGTTTGGTTGTCTAAAGAACACCATTGTCCATATAACTACAGATAATTACAGAGCTGTCATACTTGTTCACACTTATTACACTTGTTTATGTATTTCAGGAAACATACCTGAGAAAAAATATATTTTTCAATACAGTGTACGCTGAAGTCGACTTACTTAAAATACGCAGGTTTCTTTTCCCAGATTTCAGTGCTCCAAGTCACATGAGCAGTTGTTCTGTTTGTGTATAGTTTGTCCTCGAGTTGGTCGACACGAATGTAATCTGATTCTTTAAATTTGGTGGGGGGATCTAGTAAATCAAGACCATTGATTAATTTTTAAAATACACAACATTCGATAAACTTAAGCAATTTTAGTTCCTCAAAATATCCTGAATCAATGCCATTGTCCAGCGTGGAAAGAGTTTGTAACAATGATAGTTTTTTTTTCGCGGTGAGTGCTACAATGATACAAAAATAAAGATTATGATAATGAAACTTTCGAGGTTGATCGTGAAATTTCGACAGCATACTACGAATATTCTTCAGGTTTTGAGGTCGGCTAGAAACGCTTCACCCTATGAAGCGTTATGCTGCACTCTGATTGGCTGTTTTCGTTACCTTTTTCAGACAGAGCCTCCGGCAAAGTTTGAAATAATTGAAGAAGTTACGAGTAATTACATGAAGGTAGAGAATGAAGTGTTATTAATATTATTATTATTATTATTATTATTGTTATTATTAACATTATAACAGGGTGTGGGGCGTCATGGATATTTGTGTATGCTATTGTTTCATTTTAAACGTCTGGAGTTTGATATATTGGATAATACTTACTTTCACAAAAACAAAATCCATGAATACAGTCTGTAAAGAAATGCAGTCGTGAATGTTGAGTCAAAACATTTGAAATAAAGTTTAATCAGTAATCAGTTTTCGTTAACCAGTCACAATTTATCGTCTGAGGGAGCGGGAGGAGAGGATTTTGGGAGATCACATGGTTTTAGTGGCAAAAGAGGGAGATCAGCTGTCGCCAACGGAGTTTAAAGGGGGGAGAGAGAGAAAAATAGACTGCTAATTAACTGCCAATGAGTGGGGGGGGGGGGGGGGGAATCATAAGTACATTACGGAACCTTATTGGGGATCAGGTACATGTTATCGTGACACAACGAAACTCCTCTGACACCCCTCTCCTACAAGGGGATGAATAATGACTTGCTCCTTACGCAGCAATGAAAAATTAACACCACGCTTTAACTCATAAGGGATTAGTCCTTAGTATGTGCAGTTGTTTGGCGAAAGTTGCTCCGATAGAAGCGCGCGCGCAAATACCAAATAGCTTTAGGTATTCCTTGGTTTCGAATGTCTCGTAACACTGACGCAAGTCGTTTGATATGAGGCAGGGAACGCATACAAATAAATTCTCTTTCCTTCAGGATAAACATCCAATAACGGTAAACAACCCATAAGACCAAAGGTAACGTTCATCAGCCGTCAGTTCTGTATAGTTCCCCCTTTATAGTTTGTTGGCAACGACTTACACCCCTCCGTACCCCCCTGAAAACCATGTGATTCCCTCCCCAAAGTCCTCTGACTCCCCCACACGATACAAAGAGTTCTTTTGTACCAGTCTCTGTGGGACCAAATACCTGCATATGAGACTTTGCGCTTTTCTCCGTTCCCTTGAGAAAGGAAAACGGAGGTAAGAGATGGGTAAAATGAAGGAGGACGAGCTCAGACAGTTTTTCTGACATGATCTAAAGAATATCCCACACCAGTCGACTTCAATCAAAATTCATTGGTAAATTTAAAAAATTCTGACCTTTGTTGATTCATTTTGAGTTGTTTTTTCGATGAAAATAAAACTTGAAGATAGGCATACCTGGAATGTCGAAAGTTGCCGACGTTGAATACCCATCGGGAGGGAAAGTCGTTATCTGCAAACCACGGAGAAAATATGTATATCATGCAAGGCGTAGTATTACTCATTTGTTTCACTGTAGACAAGTGTGTTCAAAAAAATTACTGACCTTAAAAACATAACTACATCCAAAATAAAACTGTTCGTTCTGTAACACGAAAACGTCATTTGTAACCTGCCGGTGAAGAGATCAAAATTCCCTATTAATTGCTTCATTGCATAATTTGAATCGGTAACAATGCTTCTTGCTCTTGATTTACAAGGTCTATTCTTTCAAAAACAGTACAACAGTAGCCAAACATAGAAGGTCTCAATGGGTTAAACCGTTGGCAGCTAAGCATAAAAAGAGTTAACCGCAAAAGATGTTTCTTTTGATAACAATGGAAAGAAATTAAGCGTAAGCTTTAAAAGGCCAAAACTTTAACCGTTAGCCGAAAAAGCGATCACCCCCTTAAGACCCTCACCATAATGAAACTCATGAGAGTTAACTAATTATTCCATATATGCTTCAAAGAACGGTAGTACATTCTCGTACTGGGAATAATTCAAACGTTGTTTTGTCGAGCGAGTGCTCAGTTTTTTCGTGGTGAAAATTTTAGCTGTCATGTTTCATTTTTATAGCCGCAGAAGGCAAGGGAAAGAGAGAAATCTTTTCTAAGAGGGTGAGTGATGGTCAAAAGGACGGAGAGAGGAGGAGGTGGGGCAATAGACAATACTCTTTGATCTTGATTTATTTTATATTTACGTCATGTTTAATGAACATTTAACAAATAGATTTCAAGTTGCCGTGCGTCTGTTCAGTAATAGATCACAGAGGACGCCAAAATGTGGTAAGAACAAAAAAGTGGCACACGAGGCACAGCTGAGTGTGTCACTGATGTTCTTACCACATTTTGACGTCCTCTGTGATCTATTACTGAACAGACGCACGGCAACTTGGAATCTACTTGTTTTATGTAATAAAGAATTTTAAAAAGTTTTAATGATGACGTCATCTATACGTCTGTCCTCCAATAGATAATAAGAGAGAACTAATCAGAATGCGTGCATAACTAAGCTTATTATATAAATGTATATATATTATTATCCTTCATTTAGCGGGGGGGAAGGGGTTTCCTATGCATCTACGACAATCTATAATATATTCATTAGATCAGCAATGGGTAAAAATTACCGGATCCTGAGGCATCGGGTAGTGGAAATCTTCTGTAACACCATGTTTAAAACAATGCTGGCGAAGAGCAGATGATAACACGACATGAACAAATAATTCTCCATTTTTTAAGTCGAGAAGGTCGTGAAGGGCTGAAAAGAAGTGAGAAGAGATGTGATGCAATATAACATGACAGTGTGACCGTGTGGCTTGGCGCGACCTAGCGTGACATAGCGTGACAATGGTCAAGCTAGGATACATACCGCCTTGTCGATATCAAACGAGCCTCAGGTCTTTACACCTTAAGTGCTAATAAAAATGAGAAATTGACTGATCCATGGAACGGACGAGCAACGCCTCAAAAAATTATAATAAAAAGAAGAAAAAACACACAAAAAAAAACAGACAGTAGTGGTACGTGGTACGTGGTACGTGGTACGACATAATGTAATCATAGCTCAAGTCCAACATTATTTGTCTCTTATGATCATGTCGAGACGTAATGCATTATAATATAATCTGATACAACACGTTATGTTCTAAGCTATATAACCTTCTCTAATGTCAACGTGAAATATTAAACTTGCCCCTCGGTATATAATTTTTTAGTTACTTTTTTGAACTTACCACGTGGGAACTCCCAGTACAAAGAGGTGAACACTTTTGGTCTTTCAAATGGGATCGGTACCACCGTAAAGTTAAGGCGAACATTGAACATCCTGCATGGATAAAACTGAGTGATATTTCCATGGGAAGATCTCTTCAGTTTTGGACAGGAGCCTGGGTGGACAATGGACAGCAACAAAAATTCGTTTTATGGTGCATCAAGAAATAAATCACTACGTAATTTATTAATTTGTTACATCAACGTGTTCAGTCAAGAGCCTTTGAACCGGCGACATTTTTTGTTTTGTTTTGTTTGTTTGTTTGTTTGTTTTTCTTTTTGCTGCATTCCGTTATTACCTACAAACTTTTCAAGATATAGATTCTACCATACTTAGTCGGTCTTACTGTGAAAAGAAGCAATCACTTGAGCTAAGCTTTAACAAGTTTAGGAAACATGAACAAACCAAACTGATCAACCACCAATGATAATTGATCTATATTTCTCTTTCATTTTTGTCACGTACAATCCATTCTTGTGCGCGCCAACGTTTCCCTTTTGCTTTCAAGGTTTTATGAATCTGAAGTATCGACTAGGATTTAAGATTTTTAACCTACTGTTTGTTTGGTACAGAGGACTTGAAGTCGAGAAATCTGATGTTCCCCAGAATGAAACTGCCGCTAAACGGAACGAGAAGTTAGCTATTTTTGTAACAAATTCTTCTGGGATGGTAAAAGTGGTGTTCGTCGTCTGCAAGATAATTTAAGATTAATAAACATGATTTCGAAAGAAATTTTAAGGTATGAAAACTTTACACGTGCTCGCACTCGAATTCAAATGATCACCTTTATCTATGCTATTGAAGACCAATATGCGTAACTACTTACCGTATGATATTTCTGTATGTGTGGTAAAATAATAAATGGGTCAGTGATGTTTGTATGACGTGTGACCTCCAGGACGTATACCATAGGTGTGGCATTATACTTGGTGTGACTGTTACTTCTCCAGTCCAGTGTGAAAGTGAAATAACCGGACGAAAGCAAAATGGGAGCATCTGGAACTGGTGATACTGTTGTGATGTTGCTTGCTTCAAAAGAGTACGGTGAAAAAAAAACGTTTTAGAGGTATGCAGGACGATTATCGTTTACGACCTAATGTATGGTGTAGCTCGATTGCTATCAATTTCTCTGCAAGGCATTTGCAAACCCTTTAACTCCTGGCTGCGATCAACTTGTAACTTCTCCCCAAAACATTCATTCCTTATCCAGCAAACAGGTGATGAAAATATGCAAACCAATCAGGCAGAAGTTGTTATCTTGATCTAAACGAAATTCTCATAACTAATTTAGAGGGAGATGTATTGCAGCCAGAGAGGAGAATTAACGATCAGATCTTGGGAATTAAACGGTTAGTGAAGCGGATTTCGCCAGATTTTCAAAACCTTTCGTGACTACATTTCTGTTTTGTTCAATATTCAGACAAATGTTAGACATCTTTCTAACAAAAAAATTACCAACTTAATAAAAATAAATTTGAAACGTTTCCGGAAGCTGGGCATTCGTCGATGATGCTTCCATTTTTCCCCTTTTTTTATTTGCATTGCTTGTAGGGAAGGTCAACATTTACATCTTGTTAAGTTTTATTTGGACGTCTACTGCGGTACTACTTGGTTTCCGTCAGTGACATCTGACATTAAAAATATCGAAGAAAAATAAAATCATCATTCATACTTACCCTGGGAAGAATTTACCGGAATCAACTGGGTACACGTTGCATTGCAAAGTTGCTTGTCTGAAATCTTAAAAGAAAGAATTTTAAAAACGTGATTTCACTTCGCTTTTGTTAAGAGCTAAAATTATAGCCTGATATTCTTGCAAGTGGCAACATTTTTACAATAACACCTGTTTTCCAAAAACAGACATGCCTTGACGCTTTCACTATCATGGTGTCTGTTTAATGCCATATGAACTGTGTTGTACCTTGAAATTTCTCCGTAAGTTGAAATTGGTTTCAATTTGAAATACGTAAACACAGATGAAGAAATAAGTATTTTAACTTGGCAACAAATTTTGGTACCCTAAAGAAGGTAACGAGGAAAATTGAAAACCGGAAGTAAAAAATGAATTTTTTTGCATACAACCGTGGAACTAAGCAATCAGATATTGAATGATACTGGCTCGTAATTGATCATCACATAAATTTTTGTGAGCGTGACCGTAGTCTCTGCAAACAAAATGTTACTGATGGAAATGTCAACAAAATTCAAATAACCAATCTCCGGGACAGGCGAAAATGATTTATCATTTCATCTTCTATCCCACTTGTTTACTCAAACAAAAATGAACAGCATTCAAGACAATTTTCGATTTCTGTTTCAATAGTGTCCAGAACCAAGAAATAAAAACATTTTAGCAAAATTATTCAGAGCAGCCAGATACGTTCATTCCGTCTTTTGTTGTTACTAATTTCTATATAAAATTCATGTTAGCGATAAAAAAATGTCACGGCTGTTGGGCATGATTAAGATGCTTTTCTAATTAACTCAAATTCCCGATCAGTCAGAGTTTCTAGGAAATGATAATTTAAGGAAGCTGGGCTTTCCTTTGTTGAGAACCAGAAGTAGCAAATGAACCCGGCAATAAAACTGTCTTATAGTTTTGAAAGGCATGTCAATTATTTCCCAGAATGTTCTGTTTGTTTTGTTGATGTGTCTATTCATGAGTCACAATTACGGAATATCAGTTCGAACCGACTTTTTTGTCACTTGGTATTGCTCATAAATTCTCAAAGCTCTGACTTAAAATCGATAACAGTTGTATGTAACGTTTCCACTAAAGATATCGATTTTTTTTTTTACGTTTCCTCTTGCTCTACATCCTGGGTCACGTTTCAGTCGAACGTGATCAAAGTCGCTAATTCCTGTCGCTCTAAAAAACTATAGTTAATTACTCTTAACGTCCGCCAAGTCGACCAGCGTTATGGAAACATCAAACATCAAGATTGTAACTGAGATCGGTAAAATTTCCGCACAGCCTCATCCTACATTATGCATTTAGTTCTTGGGTAGAGAAAACAACGACAAAAACAATACATTGCCATTGCGAAAACAGATTTGTTTAGCAATAGTATGGGACTATGCGGAAATTTTACCCTGAAGTTACACACTTTGATCGCTTGCTAACAAGAATGCCGATTGATTAAATATTCAACTTGCTCTCGGAAATATTTCTATTTCCCGATGCAATATGCAGAATTTTGAACATAATGGACGCTCACAATTCAGGAATGACCACACTTGTCGTAACAATGTTGCGATAAGTGCGGAAACAGTTCCTTACCTTTGCAACACAGCTCTTGCAGCATTCCGCTATTCCTAAGCTTTCGCAAGAACCAAAGTTATACCAATAGGTGGTAAAGAGCAACAGGATCACGCTATTTACGGCTGTCATGGCTTCCCTGTGTGAGACAAAAACAGAATAAGATTGTTACGAAACAAAAGCGTGAGATTTTTGACGTAGTTTTAACATTATTTACCCAAGAGCTCGAGCGTTTCGACCATGCGTTAAATTAACACTATCAGCCGTAATATTTAGGAATCTTACAAGAGCTTGCTATCCTACTGTCAATGAATAACATTTCTTTGACTTGTTTTCAAGTACTCTTATACCTGAGAAGTGATGAATAATAAAAGTATCCGGTAATATTGAGCTTCGACTTGACTTGGTAACCCACAAATGCGTCACAAAATCTGCAAATTCACGTTCACCTCTGAAAGTTCTTCACTCTTTTGTCGTCTTATTGATAGTGAGATATTAGATGCGAAGGTTATTTTGTTCTGTTGTAATAATCATTAACATGCGAGTCACGCACTAATCAGTACAAAAATAAACTGCAAATTGAAAATTGACCCTAATTTTAAAGGAATGCTATGTTCCACTGAGTCGCAGGAATTTTCGTGCCTCTTAACAGCCTCCCAGCCCCCCCCCCGAAAGGCTCTCGACCGCAAAAAAAGAAAAAAAAAAAAAAAAAAAAAAAAAAAAAACTGTGAACTCAGCCCATCGCGGAAACGAGCAATTTTCGTGCCGACCAACACAATCAGTAATTTTCCTTGAAAAAGGAGAGAAATACATATCTGTCAAAGTTTAACACGAAATCTAATCTAAGGTTTTTCTGCGGTGAGTTTGAAGTGTAACAAAATAAGAATATCAATGTCATCAATGATATTACTCGCACATGCTTTGCAATATTAAAGTATTGTTCGACAAAAGTTGCTATTAACGGCGGCGACAGTGGTTTAACATCGAATAAAATTGTTCAGCAAAGCTGCCTGACAGCTTGTAGATGCTTCGTAACTTTCTATTTAATAGACTGATTTTAAGAAGAGTATATCTTTGCAAATGTAAACATGAAAAAGTTCTTCATACGTTGAACGAAAATTCTGTCGTCTGATTTCCTAATTGCGCGAGAGATGACAAGTTGAATATATCCATTTGAGTGACGCTTTTTTTTTAGCAATTGTAAATACTTTGTCGAATGCATGGCTGTCTGGAAAATATTTTGGCAGTTTATCTTGTACAGTGTAATGAAAAGCAAGTCTAGAAATGCTTTATAACTATTTTGCTGCGCTTATCTCTCTAAAATTCGTCTCAATGCTGCTTTTTACATATGTGGTTGTCTGATCAAACAATGATTCCCATATGTGAATCTTTGTTTAAGCAGACGAGCGGAACACTGGTAATATTAACTAAAATATTTATGTTAAGAATATCAGTGGGCGACCTTTTAGTCCCATCCACATAGCCTTGCGCTGAAAGCCTCTAAATACCCTATTTCGAATTTGCTGTCGCTACTCTACTGTAGAAGAAACAACAATTAAAACCGATTTATAAAACTGGTAACTTTGGTGGTCATAATAGCTGCTAAAGACACTGTAAATCTCAACTTAAACAACGTGCGTCAGCACTACTGCCATACGCTCATTAAATATCCCAAAGATATGCCGGAGCTTACCCATTTAAAATTTTCGCCCGTTAAAACGTGGTGTTTGCTAACCAAGTAAAGTCCGTTCACTCCCTTACATCTGTATAATATTTTGAAGATATCCGACCCTTTTCAGAAAATATTTGAGTGTTGTGATTGACATATCTGCTACGTCATAGAATAAACCCACGCTTGGTGTTCAATACTTTTAAAATTGTAGTAAAGAAAAAATGCTTTTTTTACCGGATCCTGAAACAAAACCCCTTCTAAAGCAAAAGACCGAGCAGAACGTGACTTCCTCTTGACGTTTTAGCAAATCACATATTTTTCTCCACGAAATTACGGCTTCAACGCTGATTTTTTAAAATAAATTCTTTGAATTAAAAAATCACTTGTTGTAAGGAATGCCGTTTTATTTTGTAATTTAGTATATTCATGTCATTGTAACCTCCAAATCATCTTTAGATATCAAGCGAATGCGATTGGAGGATTTTAATTAATAGTATGATCGAAGAGGCAACAACTTCAGCTGTAGTAAACATGCAATAAGCGCGTTCCGCTCTCTGCTTCACTTCCCTCAGACACTTCGAGTGTATTAAAAATTTAAAAAGGGGAATTATTTCAGAAAGTATGGGTGTTTGAAATAAATGATCGACCCATCTCTTTTTAGCAGGGCTTATAGGATCTTCATATTTTTATTTTTAAATTAGAGACACAGGACTTAAACAAAGACCCCGTGTATTGACTATCAGATTTGATATATAACTAAAATTCGTTTTTTAGCGCTCGCGTATTCGAACTTTTGTAAAAGTTCTCTTGATTTTTCTATGTGCTTTTTAGGATTTTCTGGTGCAGAATTGTAGAGATCTTTTAATGGGTATGAACTGTTCGCAGAAAATAAGATTATTTTGATTTTATCAACGTAGTTTATAATCTGGCCACCGTAAAGAGTTTCAAAGCTGACTTTTTGAGCGTCATAGCGTTCGTCAGAGCGAATGACGAAGGGCTGACGCTTAAAATGTAAACTTTGAAATTCTTTACAGTGGCCAATTTACATTATCAACTCGGTTGACAAGCCAAAATTATCTTGTTGTTATCCTCCTCCACCGACACAGCACCACAGTTTCTTTAGAAACTTATACCCTTTTTGAACACAGAAAAGACAAGACAATTTGTAGTAACACTAAAAATGATGAAAATAAAATATTGGGAAATCAGGAAAACTTTTTTGTTGAGCAAGGTTTAGAGAAGTGAAACACTATACCTCTAAAGCGCTAATCGCCAGAATTAAATCGCCAGAAATGCAAATCCTTAATCGGAAAAATGACATATGACACTAATCTCGCAAAATATAACACGGGGCTCGCCAACTCGCAAGTACTTCTAAGGACTACTCGATACTACAAGAGACTGTCGGCGAAAAGCTTACCCGTAATCAAGGCTCCAGAAACTATAACCAAACGAACCTTTCATTTTTCTTAAGCTTATCACTCGCCTGGGCTTGTGTCCCTAACTTTAATTTCCTATATATTGTCGTGAATTGTTAACTGTCTGTAGGATTATTGGCGCCATATGATGCAATTGTAATCTGCACTATCTTCATTTACGTGTCGCATCTATTCTTTATTGACATTTAATCAAACACTAACGCATTTCTCACAAAAACAAAGTTTTGCCATTTAGCAAAAAGAAATAATGATTGGTTTTCTAACGGAGGCGTGAATAATTCATATTTTATTATCTGCGCAAGAGGCTTTTAATGCAAGTCTTGATATGTCCGATAGATCACAAAGTCAAGTAAGAAAATCTTTGTTAGTTGCGTGAACTCGTTTGAAGCATCTCGTTCTATTTCATGCACTTAGCCTTGGGTGCTTCAGTTCCACCTGCCGTTAATGTTTCAAGCATGGGGTGTGCACTATAAAATTTAATCACAGTTTGCATTTTTCGAGTGTTAGCCTCTAAACTCTTTACGGTGGCTAATTCACGTTTTCAACTCAGTTGACAACACTAAATTACCCACACGTATTATTAATCCATAAATTTTATCAATCTAGTTGGCTACAAGAAAGCGGCTTATTCGCCTCTGATAGCACTGTACTTACCTTTTTGCTTCGATAGATAACAAGGTACCGAATAAGTCTTGAAAATTATCTCTGTCATGTTTAAATTCATGCATTTAAAAATTTTCAATCAATAATGATTGACGTACAATCGCTAATTAATGATTCATTCCGTCAAACTCTTTTGATTCAGACTAGGATGATAGAGGAAGAAGAAGAAAAAAAAGGTGAGCTCTGAGCCTCAGGCATTGCAGTGGAAATAGGCTAAGGAAGTCTAGTCCAGAGGACCAGTCCAGAGGACCAATCCAGAGGACCAGTCCAGAGGACCAGTCCAGAGGACCAGTCCAGAGGACCAGTCCAGAGGACCAGTCCAGAGGACCAGTCCAGAGGACCAGTCCAGAGGACCAGTCCAGAGGACCAGTCCAGAGGACCAGTCCAGAGGACCAGTCCAGAGGACCAGTCCAGAGGACCAGTCCAGAGGACCAGTCCAGAGGACCAGTCCAGAGGACCAGTCCAGAGGACCAGTCCAGAGGACCAGTCCAGAGGACCAGTCCAGAGGACCAGTCCAGAGGACCAGTCCAGAGGACCAGTCCAGAGGACCAGTCCAGAGGACCAGTCCAGAGGACCAGTCCAGAGGACCAGTCCAGAGATCCAGTCCAGAGGTCCAGTCCAGAAGTTCATTCTAAAGGTTTAGGAGTTTTTTTGACTTGAAGTGCTCCTACTAAGACATCACTAGCTGCATTTCATTTCTGCAAAACGAACATCAAAGCTTCTTTTGTTCAGAACCCGATGGAGCCATCAAAAAATGTTTACCAGCGAGTAAAAAAGGGAAATTTTGTCTAGATACGAAAAAGATTTTGCAAAGCTGCCGCAATTCATCTTATTTTTTTTAGCACAAAGCGATATGATTATAGATGGATTGATAGTCCATCATACATATACGTGTAGGTAACCCCACTAACTCCAGCATTTCGCAGGTTTCCCTGAAAGTTTACCGGGATTCACTTATAATCCCAGGCCCCACTGGATGAATCTCTATTATATGCGATGGATAGCGCAGTAGGTTTTCTTAACGCTTAGTCGCTGGAAGGTGATTTTATCCGTTGGATAGCGTTATCCGTTCTTCGCACAATTTAACCCAGATTGAAGAGCGATACTATAAGAGATAAGTGTCCTGTCTGAAAGAGCGAAATCGAAAAACGTACTCAATGACCAAACAAGGCTCAAAACTCGAATATTACAATCCAAAGTCCAAGGCACTAACAATTAAGCACCGTCTGTCCTTGAACAGTCAGGGCAAGGAAACCACTTAAAAGTTAATCTCAAGAATTGTCAAAGCAAGGTCAAAAATTCGATTTTCATGTTTAAAGGGACAAGTCCTATTTTCAAATTGACCAATAATGTGAAAATATACCTACCACTTTCTCAACACTTACTGTGTTCGTAACAAAA